TTTTGGAAATGAAAGGGAAAGAGGCTGCAGTACTAATTAGCAGAGGCTGGAGAAGGATCTTTTAAAAAGTCTACAGCAACCTGGGACTGTTGATAGGGTCAAAGGTCTGTAGCTTGACTGAGGTAAGCCCTCCACTGAGTGTCCACTTAGAGCGGCTGGGGGCTCAGCCTTGCATCCAGACTGTAGGTCACTCACATCTGATAGAAATTTTTAAAAGGAGTAGACTGGCCCTGATGATTGCCATGTTGATAAAATCTGCATGGCAAGTAATTATCTTGGGAATACGTCTGGCTGATGTTGTTCCATTTCATCTTTGTTTCAATCCACCCTCTCTCTTCTCTGGCAATTATTTAACCCCCCTCACCTTCTGTGTCAGCCTCCCGCAGCTAATGGCTTCACTCTGCTTTTCACAATCCCTGCTTTTTCTTTTTTTCTTTTTTTTTTTGGAATGAAAAGCAAGCAGCCATGTGTCTTTACACGACTCTGCTGCTGCCTAGTTTTAAATGCTGCTTATTGATAAAGATGTCACCGTGGCAGTGGATATGTAGGAAAGAGGGTTTTTTGTCCTCTGCCTTGTCAGTGAAGCAGGATTGTTGTCTCTTATCCCAGAGAGATATTTGATCATCCTGCTGGTGCGTCCTCAGTGGGGTCAGCGGTCTGTGAGAGGGGGACAGTGACACAGCTGTGGCAGCCGAGTGGAACCAGTGATGGATGACATGCCAGAATGGGCCACGCTGCCTTCCCAGGCGCCTGCGTTGACAGGCTCAGCTCTCGCATCTAACATTCAGCATCAGTAGGGCTAATCGTGGGTCATGCTGGCCACAGATGTGACACGTGAATATCGCTCCTGTAATTGCTCATTTGTCAACGTCACATTCTCAAAGAGCAGGTTTCCACAGCTATTGAATGAAACTTGCTATAATGGACAAACATAAAAAACTGATGAAATTAAATCTGAAGGCTGGGCAGTGGAAGCGTTTCACACTTTGTCGTCTCATGCAGATTTACTATAAGGAATGTCCTCAGGCATTGCTGGTGTTTAAAGCAGCTATGGTCAGTATTTTTATATTAATGGATTAGTTGTGTCATGTGAAAGGACTTGCTTATCACCGACACTGCGTTCCTCTATGTTCTATCGAGCTTTACAGTGTCTTTTAGCTCATTGTTTTGCCTTTTACTCTTGTGACATTGTCACCCTTCTCATAGTGCTGTCTTCGGCCACAGCAGGAAGCGGTTTCTTAAGTGAAAAATCTCCCAAAAATGATTGTACGTTACCTGCCCAGCACCAAACGCCATACATACAAAATAAACAATTAGCTGGTGAACATAGTTGAGCTTTTAGCAGCTAAATATCCAGATACTTTTCTCAAGAGTTGGTGGATTAGATTTTATTATTTTACTTTATGAGGATCTCCATTAGCTGAGGGAGAACGTCAGCTACTCTTCCTGGGGTCCACACCAAACATAAAAACATGACAACAGATAGGACACTTACAGACAAAACACCACTTATTAAAACCAAACCATTTGGTGGAAACCAAAACAGAGCTAAAAGAAGAGTGAGATTGGCGTTACATTCGTTGGTTGGACACAAACCCAACTCCAAACAAATGCTAATGTTGCTTTGCATCTGCTGGATATTTAAGCAGCTAACATGTTTACCATATAAAGTTCAGAGGTAATATACAAATATGTTGCTTCCACTGCATTCAAGTAATTGGCCAAAAAAAAAAAAAAAAAACGTTATTGCAGGTTTAATTGGTGGATGGTATTTTAACGGATTTTTATCCAAGGGCCACTTAAAAACAGTATTTCTAGGGATGAATATGATGAGTAGTCCAAATTATATCCATTAATTTTCATTTTGCTTTTGGTTTCTGATGGTGAAAGCTACATTCTGTTACTACAAATGTGTTGGATCCTTTCTAGTAGTATGTAAATTGTTTTGTGAGTGTGTGTGTGTGTGTGTGTGTGTGTGTGTGTGTTCATGTGTGTGTTCGCAGTGATTATAATCCAAGCCCTGGCTGTAAGCCCTTCAGCCTGTGCTCCACCAGCCGCAAGGCCACAGCCTCTCCCCACCAGTTAATTGCATCTGAATTAGTCCATTAATGTGGCCGTGTAGAGGGATGAAGGGGTGCACGGAGGTGTCTGGCCTCTTTTGACCACTGCAATGTATTATTAATGGGTCAGCAAGTCTGGCAGCTCTGCATTAACTTGGCTAATGGACTGTAGGGTGGGTCTGTGATTCCTTTTCAGAAGGAAATCAAATATAATACATATTACAGGGGGAAAAAAAGCTTCTTGTAGGCTTTTTTCAGACTTTGTTAGTGAGAGCAGAGCAGTGATTTAAAATGAGCCGTTGCTTCTTGCTGTTTCTTTGTGGTTTTGCTCCCTACTGACAGGTTGCTCCAAGACCAAGGTTACACTCAGTCATCTCCCTGCACCATGTACAGTAATGTACTTTGCTAATGAAAAGCTAAGTATCAGATCAGATTATTATGGATGATGGTAAATGGCTTACTTTTTTCTCTTCTTGTGTAGTAGCCTTCAGGCTACTTATATTCAAAAGGCTGGGGATGACTGTAGTTAATGTAAGGGTGAATTGCATGACAAGAACACAGCCAAATAAGAAAATAAAGCCCTTTATCTAGCTGATGCTCATCTTTTTCTACTGAACACATAACTTTTTGAGGAATACACACCCTAGTTATTTTGGAAAACTAAGCAATACCAAGTAAAAAGGAGATCAGAGGTACCAGAACTAGACTGGTGAACATGTTGAACAGGTAATTTCCCTCTGTAAGATATTCAAATGCCACATTTAATTCCGATACTAGAGTTTCTTTAACTATAACAAAGGTAATGGAATTTTTTTTAATCCATCTGCACAGAAATAAGTGGTGTACAGCTATAGTCACTGTTTGTTTCTCAGCAGTCAGCAGTCAGAAGAATATGACTATGCAAAGATAGAAGGTTAAGGAGTGCATGACTGTTCTATTTATTTTCAGTCTGATGGTAACGTGCATATTGAGCAGCTGCATGAGCTCTGAAATGTTTATGTAGACGTGCAGGAAAAATAAAAGGTCAAAATGTCTCAGTTTTTCCTCTCCTCAATATCGTGTGTTTTCAGTAGATCTGTTTTACATTTTGTCTTCCAAACATCACATTTTACTGTCTTGGTATTTCAGTGTAAAATTTGCTGCTTGCTACTTAAGCCTGCAAAGAGAAGACTATACATTGAAGTTGCACACAAAAGGTTTTCTGTGCCGTTTCTTTATTTGTCTAATTCTTAAGTGGACAGTTGGCACTACCCCGTCACTATTAGTAGCTGCAGTCAGTTCTTCATTGTTAGTGGGCACTGTAGTCAGCAGGCTGCTGTGAGCCATTGTCAGAGGATAGCATCAGAGGCTCTTCTTCTGGCTGATAATTAAGTGGCGTACTGACAAACGGCTTTCATCAGATCCCTCATGTGGAACTGAGAGCATGCGAAGGCTTTCAGGGAGGATAAACCAGAGGACGTCACTTTGCCTCCAATCTTTCATGGCCTTGTGCTGCCTCTGCAGTGGAGGAGGAAGGGAGAGAAAAAGCGCCCTGTGTAGTGCAGGAGGAAAGTGCGAGGCCGCGTTGCTCAGAAAACCAGACTCAATTTACAGCACTGTGCAAGGCGGTTTCTCTGCGCTGATATTGTCAGTCTGTACTGTACCAGTTTCCCAGCTTGTCTCGGGTGACCAAGCACACAGTATGTGCTACGTCTTTTTTCCCATTTGAGAATCTGTCAATTATTTTTGTTTCCTCAAGGCTGATATAACTTGTGATGACTTTAGGCGCCGAGTGCATGAGAGTAGATTGACAGAAAGAGTTTGAGCCGGAGTGTGCTATTGCGACAATGACCCCCTTAAAACATAAAATGTACAGTCACTACAACCTCCTTGCACCCAATTGTCACCCATAAAATCAAGTTCAAGATCAATGCTGTTTGCAGGCTTCTTGTTTTTAGATCGTATAAGCTATATGGACATTTATTGTGTGTTTGCCAGACAACTGTTACCTTGAAATGTGCATTGCAATGACGTCTATATGCTTTGCTTTGATAGCTAACGTTTTATCGGCTGCTAAAGTGGAAACTGAAAGCTGTTAACAGGCTCATTTAGAGGATATCACTTATCAGAAGTAGAAGATACCATCCACATTTGGACTTTTGATTTTAGAATTTGGAGTAATGTATTTGTTTTCCTTAAATGTGAGCTAAAATAAGTTGGTCTGATTTTCTAGATACAGATAAATTCTTTAAGGTTATCTTCAACCATGATCCTCAGTTTTCTGCAGTGGATGTTCTTCACTTTTATTTATTTTCCTGACTTGATTTTAGTCTCGCCACGTCTCAACCTTTTCGTTCCAGCCTAATCTACTGTGTTGTACTGACTGGTTTACTGTTCAGTCGTGTTATCTTTCACTCAATCCTGCCAATTTCCAAAGAGGTCCGTGCCCATCATCATTTCTTCTCAATTCTTTCTGGTTCATTGCCAATGACAACCCTGTCGAAGGTCAGAGATGTTCAGAAATAATCCACTTAATGGAATAATGCTTCACTTCTGCACGCTGCACTGTGCAGTAGTGTAGCAACTGTAGCAACACCAGAGGTTGTACAAAGCGCTTTGACTGTGTGCAGTTTGGCTCTGAGCAAGAGAGTGAGACAGAGTGGGAGAGACACAAATATCGGCAAAAGAGAAAGAGAGACAAAGACAGATAGCTCTCTGAAGGACTGTGATCAAATAGGCCTCATATGAGTGGCTCAGGGCTTTTGTTGTAGTGTGACCTGCCATTCAGTGTTGCATTAAGTGAATTTTTCCCCCACAGCTTTTCAAATCTGCAGTGACTGCTTGCCAATTTATAAGGGGAATGCTCGAATTTCAAACGTAGCATTCAAGCCAGGGCTGTAACCTCGAGTGCACCTAGAAAATAATGCAGAAGTTTTTTTTTTTTTCCTTGAATTTCTGCAGGTCCATTCCAAGGTTGGCCTTACAGCAACAAAGCAGGTAGGGAAGGGAATGTGGGTGCATGTGCCTGAGTGAGATTGAGTTCAGAACATTTATATTGGAGCTTTTGGTCTCTAACCCCACTGCTTCTGTTGAAAAGGGAACATCCTTGGTGCAGGATTCATAAACTTCTTATATGCCACTGGAGAACTTTGGGGTTTTTGTTTTGGCTCAGCCTATTGTCTGAGCTGTATAGGATGCAGTATCCCTGGATTACCCTCAACAAAATTACTTGGCAGATAAAGTTGGATTGCTTTGCTTACTCGTGGTGCCTCAGAATAGGCAGGTAAGCTCAACGTCTACTTTTACTATATGTTTGCAGACCTCTTTGGTTAATGTGTATCTGACGGTGGTTAATGTGTAGACGGCCTGGTCTAATGTGGCCTGCTCAAGTTATCTGACGCAGTGTAGTGTTGCTGTAGACTGCTGTGGCGCACTTGTATTTATCTATAATAAACGTCTCTCCTTACACATCTGTCTGAGGTGGCTTTTGTCCACTGCCGAAGCACATTTTGTACCTGCAGCCTCTTCTGTCTATCCTCTTTACCTTTCCTGCAGTTTGAATGTATGGAGCTGGCCTCTGGAAACACTACACCTGTGGAGGCTGATGCAAACCAGTGACCTCGGTTGTCATCTCAGTTGGCTCCCCTGTAGTGGCAGGGGAACTTTGACAGCTTTGATTCTTTATTTTATTTTTTTCTTCCTTGTTTTTATTTTCATTAATTGCATTCTGTAGTTTTTAAAAAATCCTTAATAATAATAATAATAATAATAATAATAATAATAATAATAATAATAATAATAATGGTAGGTCCAAGCATCTCACTATAGCAAATGTTTTTTTGATGTTGCTGATGCTGTTGTCACTTCTCCTGATAACATGTACTTTTTGAGTCCACACATGATCGCTTATCAAGCTAATTTCTTTCTTGCATGAATTGCCCTCATTATATTAGCCTGCCAGTGAAAAATGGCTTTAATTTAGCCAAATGCTCACTGTTGGAGGGGAGAGAGAAAAATACAATTTCCCCATAGTGTCATCTCCTTCTGCAGAAGTGGCTGTTGAGTTTTAATTACTATAATACCTCAGTGTGCTACACCAGATGACCCGGGTCTATATAGAAAAAGTTAGCAATCATTTAGATTTTTCTGGTTTGCTTATTTTCTTTTGTCTTTGCATTATGGACTTAGACATAGAGTTGGAATAACAAGGTATTATATGTATGACAGATTTCACCTTGGCATGTATTTTTCTGCAGCAGGCAAGCAAACTGTTGATGTTTTATTAAAACTACATACAAGTGAGTAAAGATCAGAGACTATGGGGTTTAAAACCTAGCATGCCAACACATTACTACTAGATGCCAAGGGAGGCAGATCAAATACCTTTGAAGATGGTTAAAAAAATTCAAGTTGAAAATCGTTATAGTTGACTTCATTGGTATTTGAGTGCAGGCTTTGGGTCTCTCGGTAGCTTTTCTAGATGCAAGAGAGCTTTGCGGTGTGTTGGAAGACAGTATGGTGTCGGTGGGGGGGCGGTGTCACTGTAGTCAATAAGGCTTAGGTAGTACTAAATATAATTAAATATGTCTTTAACATGTGCTTAATGTAATTGCTTCTATCACTAAAACCAAGAAAACCTACTTTACAGTCACTATTGGAGCCTTTAAGACAGGTTTTAAATGCTCAAAATGTTGAAGCATACAGCACCCTGGCTCTCCTTTGTCATCGCGCAGCACATTTTCATCCAGTCAGTCAGAAAAAGCCTTGTTCTGATGGACTTAAGGTCACAGCTCTTCTCACAACTAACAGGATTAAATCATCTGGTGATTGCACCTGGACGAACTTACCTTTCTATACCTGTGTGTATGTTTGTCCAATCGTTTTTTTTTTTTTTTTTTTTTTTTTTAAAGCGGTGCCTTGCTGAGCGAATGCTGTGGCATCCCACATGCCTTCCCACACCCACTACAAATAGACAGCGAAGGTGCTACATTCCATGGCCTCGGTGCAGATCCCTGAGGCTGAGGAGTATGTTCTGTGTTGGTGGGCATGTCACAGGGTCCATATAAAATAACAAAGGCCTAAAAATACAGTAATCTGTGTGTGTGTGTGTGTGTGTGTGTGTGTGTGTGTGTGTGTGTGTGTGTGTGTGTGTGTGTGTGTGTGTGTGTGTGTGTGTGTGTGTGTGTGTGTGTGTGTGTGTGTGTGTGTGTGTGTGTGTGTGTGTGTGTGTGTTACTGTATCTCTACTGATTCACTTCCTGTTTCCTTTATTGTGGGCTTGCTTGCTACACTCTTACCCCTTTCTGTTTTTCTTTCACTCTTTCTTTCTTTTTTTATAATTTCCATAAATCTAATGTGAAATATTCAAATTATTTTGATTTATTCAACCATTTAAAGTCCAAAGACATTCAGTTTACTATCATACATACTTGCGTACATACAAGGAATGCAAACAAATCCTCACACCTGAGAAGCTGAAGCCATAGAATGTTTGGAGTTGCATTTGAAGAATGACTTCAATGATTAATCAATCATTAAAATAGTTGTCAGTTTATTTTCTGTTGATTGACTTATCAACTTATTGATTATTTGTTTCAGCTCTAATGTTCTGATAATTATTGCAATATTATATTTAGTCCTCATCCCCTTGGTTGATTTTAGTTTTGATTGTTATGATAATAATGATTCCAGTTCTAATTCTGCATATTGATTATGAAACTGTTTAACATGTTGCGTAAGACACCAAAGCTAAATATGTTGAAGCAGAATCTGCCTTTTATGTCCAGAAGAATTAGGCTCCTATAAGTAATTTGTCCTGTCAGTTATTTTTTACTGATGTGATTTTCTTTTTCTTTTGTTATGTTAAATATAGATAATAAAGGATCTTTTATTTAAAGAAAAAAATCTAGTATTTTTACGCTATGACTGGGACATCTTCTTGCAGCAGGAGATGCTTCGTCCTTTCCTCCCTCGCAGGAAATAATTTTCACACAGTGATTCAATTTCACTGTTTCACTGCTGTCTACTGTGACCTCTCTTTAAGCGATATCTGTGGTCCACCATATTGTAAACACCATACATGTGCATTAACACCTGCTTGCATATCTTGTCTTTCTGTCCATTTGTTATTCCATTGTTTCACTCATTCATTCACTCGCCCACTCTATGACCAGTTCTTTCCCTCCCTCTCACCATTCATTCATCCGAGAGATCTTTCTGTATTTTTGAGCAGATCTGAAGCATCTATCTCAGCAGTGGCTCAAGTCTTTTATATCGCTCCATCATTCAGACTTGCTGACAGGTCAATTAGAGGTTGAGGCGCTATCCTCCAAAGTGATTGTACTTGCAAGAATGTTTGCTTTGGTTTGTCTGATCTGTCATTTTCCCCTCATCTGTTCAGACACTCCGTAGAAGATATTAGATGTGGCGACACAAAACTGCACAATATTTTTTACATGACTGTTTTGTTCACTCTAAATGTCTCGTGGTACATCCTGTCTTCTATTTTATAGTTAATGAGAAAACACATGTTGATTTCATACAAGCGGGATCAACTGAAAATGGGGCAGTTACTTTAATTTTGTGCCCAATGTCACCTAAGCCAAACCATGTCTTATGCTGAGCTTTAATCTGTGCATCCTTCTGCTTTTCTCCCTAGATCCTTTCTTTTCTTTTTTGGAAATATGAATTGAACTCAGGAATCATTTTGCTTATATTATGTATTTGTCTGTGCAGCTCCTGTAGCAGAGGTCATTGTAGTGTTTAACCACTGGTTCCTGACACCGTTCACCACCGCCTATTTCGTCACACACTGCAATGCCAGGGAGAACACTTTGATCCCAAAGACAACAAATCCAGAAGCATTTAAGTTCTTAACACTTTAAGAGCACCTCTAGGTCATCTCAGGCCTTCACGTGGTCTCAGGAATGTTTCAAGTAAACTCACAACTGGACTAGCAGCTCTTGTTGCTTTTTGTTAGTTGTGGGAAATGTAAGAGTGGGCCGTGTGTTGGTTGGTTAGAGCCCCCGCACACTATATTTTTCCTTTTTTTTTTTTTAAGCTTTGAGGCATAAAGTTGCAGGAAGATTGTGTGAATGTGGGAAGGCCAGGAACCTACGGGGGCACTGATTTACTCACGTTGGACCACAGTGTGACTCTTTCCTCTCCCTCGGTTGCTGGTGTTCATCCCTATGTCATAACCGGTATGTGTACATACGTGTGTCTGTCCCAGCATGCCGAGTTCGCTCCCTTGGGTCCCTGACCGTGTGCACAGGGTGCCTCCTACTCCCCAGCTGTGAGGAGCAGGGCTCTGACATGGCCTGTCCCTTTAGCTCACTCTGAACGTTTGACACGCCAAGCGCAGAGGTCAGCCTGACCTACTTTCCCCTGGCGGCCCTTCTGCTGAGCTGCAGCGCTCCTCAGCAGGGGGGGCAGCGAGGGCGGAGCTGCTTACGCCTCCACTGCTGTCCTGGTGTGTTAAATCACCGCCATTTGTTAGGAGACACGTTCCAGTGTGTGCGCATGTTTTTTTTTTTTTAGGTGTGTAGGAGTCATCCCACATACATAGACTCACTCACACACACACACACACACACACACACACACACACACACACACACACACACACACACACACACACACACACACACACAGGCTTGTGCTGAGGTTGGATATGAAGAGCTCTGTGGGGGTTGCAGGTAGATGCTGGGCAGCACTTGGGCAGGACCCCTGCAGTGAGCTCTGTCTGACTCACTTTGTGTACCACTGTTCACACCCTCTGACCCCTTCTACCTACTTCACTTCCATCTGTACTGTAGATCCACTTATACCCTTATACCAACTTAGCCCACTGTCTTAAAGCAAATACTTTGTTCTTGCACTACTTTGTACTGGACTAAACTAACTGGTAAATCTAAGGAGCTGCTGCTCAAATGCTGACATATTGTTTATATGCGCAGTGGTAATTGGCCTTAATTTTTCATGAGCCTATCATTTTCTTGCTCTCCCTTTTCTCTCCTACTCAGCAAATACGCTACGATCTATCAAATGCAGCGACTGTCGCTGTCATCGTGTTTTCTTTTTCTTCCCTTGCTGCCGTTGTAATATTTTAAAGTCCCTTTTTGTTCTGGTTCATCTCTTCGCCTGCAAGTAACCCACAGGCTGTTAACTTCACGCCACACATGTGTCTACAACAGTAGAAAGAGTTTGTCTGACACAGTATGGGACATCGCAGGGCACAGGGTCTGTCAGGAGGAGAAGAGAGCAGGCAGGCACAGTTCATTAAAAAGTAAACTTCTAATGTAGCAGCAGGCCTCGGCTGCTTGACTGTATCAATGATTTAGGCCCAGCAGAAGGTCTTTAATGGATAGAGCCACCTCTCTGTGCAAGTTCAGCTGCTTCTGTCTGCCTGGCATCAAGTGGCACACACACTCCGACACACAACGGAGGCTGTGAAGGAAAAATGTTTTTTAAGTACTTAAGTGTGTATGGCATTTTACGTGTTACATCACACACACACCCTTCTGCTCAGACACTCCACTGTTGGACGTGGCTCAGGGTTTTAAAGTAGCATAGGCTGGCTAAAGGGAGAGCCTTGTATCTGTTTGTCAGCATCCACTATACATGATCACTTTCTGCGTTCACATTGTTTTATTCATCTGAACTAGTGTTGAACTGTGACAAGGCAAGGGACAGAGTGCAGCTAAAAGGATGGGGTCTGTGTAATGGTCCCGTCACTGCAGCCTGTGTAAAGTAGTCTGGGTGGGTCTAGGGCAAGGCAGAACATCTATGAGTCTGAGAGTAGGGCTTCCTAGGGCCACCAGATAACTATTACTTTGCCTGTCTTATAGTGGATACATGTGTCAAGTCTATGTGACTTCTCAGGTCAGATTCTACAGATTAGCTTTTTGTGGCTTGATTACGTTTAGACCACATAGAGTCATGATCGCAGTGCTTCCGTATCTAGTTTTGAAGATCCGATAGCATAGGGACCAAAATATATTGTGGTTTGAGACCTTTCCATGAATGTATTCTGGTGTGCAACAAAGGTTGATTAGGTTTTGTATGACTGTGGTAATACTCAAAATAAGAGGAACAAGAGCAAAAATTATTTGTCAGTCAATTGATTAATCAGTCAACAGAATATTAATTAATATATAATTGATTATTCATTGTGTTTTTAAGAAAATATGTAAATGACTATGAAGATATCATTTTAAAATTGAGTTGGTTCTTTTTGACATGTCGTAGACTAAACAATCAGTTAACTGAAAAAGTACTTAAAATCTTGTGTGTAGGCGTAGGACAGCCTGCTGTTATGTGACTTGTGAGTCTGTGTCTCTTTTTACCCTGTCCATTGTATTTTGTGTTATTGTCTTTGTCTGTAAGGATTCAGTTTCCTTAGTTCAGGTTCAGTTCAGGTATTTGGGTGATACTCCACCCAAAATTGTATCACCCTGCAGTCTTGAACGGTGGCTGTTAAAATGTTGCCTTTTGCTTCTTCAGAAACAGTAGCAGCTATGGATACCTTGAATTTGTATCAAAATGTCCTACAGCATAATCCACTTCTCTGCTGTCCATACTCATGCTTGTGACCTGGAAGGAGCTACATAAACCATGTTTTTTGGTTGCACATAAAAAGGTACAGCAGAGTAGTGGCTTATTATTCAGGTGTGTAAAGAGGTTGCATTGGACAATTTTTCACCACTGTGAAGACTTGTCATTTTTACATTACATTCCTTTTTTCCAGACACTTTTGCCCAAAGCGACTTAAAATAAATGCATTCAACCTCGAATAAGAGTGAGATGTCAACAAATCTGTGAAATGCAGCCCTCTTAAACAAACAACTAAAAGCATAAAGAGCTACAGTACACTTTCGCAGGACAATGATAAGACATGAGACATAAGTAAGGGTCTAGTCTGAAACGAAACGGAACGAGGGCAGTGACTCTGCCGTCTTGACTTTGGTGGGCAGTTCATTCCACCGTGGCAGAGCCAGAAAGTGACCACAGGGGCATTTGTGCTCCTTTGTGCAATGGTTGCACCAGAGTGCAGGATTTGGCCAAGGTTTCGGTCGGAAGTAGCAGTTCCCTTCACTTTCTAGCAGGCAAATTTTAAACTTGAACACGATGCAAGGAGCAACCAATGTCCAGCGCACGAAATTAAGGGTGTCCTGTAGGGCTGGGCGATCTGGCTTAAAAATAAAATCTCAGATTTTTTTCACACCAAACCCGATTTACGATTTTAATCAATTTTTTTGTAGACTGTTTTTTAGCGGGTGTTTGTGGGCTGCGGTCCTGTATATCTTGCAGAGAGCAACATTTCTCCCACTCGGCTGCATGCCTCTGCTTGAGGTGCTGGAATAAATTAGTACTGCTACCTTTTGGTTGCAACAGCTTTCAAACAAACTTTGCAGTGGGTCGTGGTTTGTTCGCTGTCGGACGCCACAAAACCAAACCAGTTCCATGACACTGTGCCTTTTTTGGGGACGAGCTCATCCTGGTTGGCTGCCGTGTTGTGTTTATCTGTTGAGAGGCGGGGAAGGGGTCAGCACACTCTGACCTACGGGAGCCCAAAGGGAGCGCCGGTGTTGTGGAAGTTCAAGAGAAAACCGATTTTAACTAAAAATAAATCGTGTTTAACTGCGAATTCAGATTAATCGATAAAATCGATTTGTCGCCCAGCCCTAGTGTCTTGTTGTCCTGGGTACGATTTAAAAATGGCAAGAAAGAAGATTGTCTTGGACAATTTTGGGACTGTAGAGAAATGTATTGTTACAAATTGTTTGTGTCATGGAGTATATATTTTCTTGCTAGATTTAGTGTCTTTTCAGACCCTCTTAGTGACTTTATTTCTAAAAAGTGACAAATTTAGCAACTTATTCAGACCATCAAGGATACGGGGAAAATAATATAATATATTGTATTGCGCAGTAAGTAGGTGTGGCATGTGGAGCAGGTTTGAGGTTCTCTCTCACTCTTTCTCTCCAGATCTCTGGATTAGGGTGTTCCTAGAGCTTAGCCTATATGTAAATAGTTTGTTTGAGCTGGTAATATTTAGTGTTCTCCCTCCCTTGTAGATTTTTTTACATTGTCACTTCAAATATGCGATGTCCCTGTAGTGAGTTTGTGATTATTTGACTAAATAATATTAATGTTCAAAGTGTGTGTATGTAAATTTCCATCACAGTATATCAATCAGATTTGAATTTGCGCTGCAGTTTGCAGTGATGCATTTATTGATCAGTTAAAAAAAGAAAGAAAAAGAAACTTAGCCAACCACTAAAAGAATAATGAAACATTTTTTTCAGATATAAGTACAGGGAACAGAGTGAGTCAATGAAGTGATGTGAGTTAATTAAACAGTTATTAACTATATTCATCAGGTCGAATGGAGAAAAAAAGGCTTTTAAGTCTGGGACAGTTGAAAGTAGAATTTGAGACAACTGACACTGAGTGAAAAAGTTAACTTTAAGCCCTGCCAATGTCGTGAACACATTTTTGGGGATCCATTGTTGCATGAAGTCTTTGTGAACGGAGCAAACTGCATATTTTTTTTACATCCTTCTTTCAAGCCTGCAGGAATGATTGTTTGATACTCAAAAGACAGATTTTGGGTTGAGTTTCACTTTCAGAAAATATTCCCTTCTGGCAGGGGAACAGAATTATTTTGACTTATGGCGCCAATTTCCACCTCTATATTTTCTGTTGGAGAACATTGTTAGACTTTTTCTGGATTACATTGGCATTTCAGAGTGATTTAACCAGCGAGATTGACAGCATTACAACGAGGCTGTCATTATCATCCCTCCTGTGGTATAATTGCTTATACTGTTGAACAAGCAGCTCCCATCTTTTGCACTTGGGGGTCTCTCTCTGTCTGTCTTTCTCTGTCTCTCTCTGTGTGCCTCCCTCTACTCATCCCTTGCATCCGTTAAACTCATGAGAGAATCCTACAGCTTTTCAGTGTGACCATCTGTCAATACCACTCCATAAAGTGGAGTGGAGAAACGTGTGCATCCATTGGCTCTTGTAAGCCCTTCGCTGGCCTGCCTCCAGCTAGTTCTGAGGGCCTTGCTGTAGCTGGTTAACCCAGGTCTGGAGCGTCGCTCTCCAGCCCTTGTGGCTACTTCAGCCCACCTCGCCTCCCCAATCAGGCAGCTGGATGAACCTCCCTCTTCAACGCTGTGGAGTAGCTTGTAACACTGTAATGAGTTAACTTTCAGAATGATCTACATAATTTATTTCCTGCCCCCACAGGAGCTCGCTGAAGCATTAATTAATATCAGGCCCTGGTATCAGCAACCATCCCAGTGTGGGATTCCTTCTGGCTCCTATTTTTGGCACCAGTGGAATTCAGTATATTTGTGCAACCAGAATGCAGTTTGTTGGACATTGATGAAAGTTATTGCTTCCTGGTGGCTTCGTACACAGACTGAGCTCCTGTATGTGTGAGTGAAATGTGGACACAGTTGTAGGCCAGATCTTACGCCACTGAAACGAGCTGACCTCGATGACAGGAGCTGTGACTAAACCTTAATGATACATGCCAACAGGTTGTATGCCCTTGTTGCTGCAGCCACTCTTACTCTTGTTATTCTCCACTCTCAAGTACTGCAGACTTATTTGTGTAATCTGATTTTTGATATGTAGTTCTCACCAGCTTTCTCTCTCTCTCTCTCTCTCTCTCTCTCTCTCTCTCTCTCTCTCTCTCTCTCTCTCTCTCTCTCTCTCTCTCTCTCTCTGTTTTCCCTCACAGAACTCAATACGGCACAATCTGTCATTGAACAAGTGTTTTCTCAAAGTGCCTCGCTCCAAAGATGACCCAGGAAAGGTGAGACTTTTAAACATGAATGTGATTATGAAAGGAGAAGAATGCATGTCATTATGAAAAAAAAATACAAATAGAAGAATGTGTTTAGTTTCTCAGCTGGCAGAATTCACCGTTTGCAACATTTTCTTCATGTGTATCATGGTCTCTGGTAGAAAAATGTTACCTTTGAATGGCTGCCAGGACTCTGACAGTCTGGAAATGCATGGCATGCTCGTAATCTATTATGAACCTCCCACCCCCACAGAATTGCATTTCAAATGTAAGGAGAGACTATTTTTTTTGGACCAGCACAGACAGCAGATGTGGGTGAAGTGAAAAAAATTTCAAAGACTGTTAAAAGTGGAGCTGTAACAGGGTAGAAGTCAGGTAGTCCTGCATCCCTTAAGTATTTGATTCAAGGTGCTAAACCAACTTAGGCAACAACAAAAAAAAAATCTGACCTCATTTGCACTCAACTCAGCTCTCTGTCTCTCATTTTTCTTCTCTGTAAAAGGATGTCCAAGTCCAACATGTTAATTTGACATTTGAATCTCAGTGGGAACACCTACAGTTGCTGTTTCAGCCTGATTTACTTTACAATCTGCAGCGACCACAACCTGATAAATAGTGTCCCCCGGTCCGCTGAGTAGTTCATGAAGAAGGAGCCTATGGGGCCTATATGTAGTATGATTATATGCATAGGTGTAACCATATGTAGCCTAACCCAGATTTCATCTCGGCACTGTCAACGCATATGCTACATATGCTTAGGGAACCACACAAATAATTACACAAACACACACGCACACGTACACACCGACACATGCATGAAGAGCTACGCCTAGCAGTGTAGAGGATGGGGACTGAATGCTAATTTCATGTTTTGCTGTAATCCTCTGATATTGACACTCCTGGGAGCTGCTCCACTAAATACAAAATAATCTATTGCTGTATGGATCCCATTCCAAATGCATGGCCAACATGCTCGCATCCTTAATGTTTAATTTGGAATTTTCCTCACTCCCTTCTCCCCCGAAGACAACTTCAAAGAGGCGCTAGCCGCTCTTGATATGTTGCATCAATATTGTAATGTGGCAGGAATATGAGAACTGCTGGTTGGATGAGATAGGAGAGTCATGTCGCTCTCTGTCTGTCTGTCTCTCTGAGATGGTGTAAGAGATGACAGTTGGTATTGTACATGCACACACTCTGTCTACCTCGGAGGTAGGAACGCAGCCTGTGAAGGCTACCGTTAAAAATCTTTATTTTAATTGGTCTTATGTTTCGGGCCTGGAGTTTCCAGGATGACCGGTGTACTTGTTGTGTTTGTCTTTTCTATATTTACACACAAAAGGGGAACTAGATGACATCATTTATGTTGATGTATGAAAATGAGCTGCGTCATTTATGGGAAAAGAGGACGTGTTATCAGGATCTGTTTAAAAAAAATCTTTACAGCAGCCTTTGTTTTATTGCTGCAGAGAATATTGTGGCTTTGCTATTTTGTTGCCCCAGACTCCACGGACACACTTCACTTGGCATTGCTACAGTATATTGCAGTATATTTGTGAATAATTTAATGACTCTTTATATGTTTTTCTTTTTTCCTGCCAACTCTCTTGGGGTGGGTGTAGGGAAATGCAGAAACTCCCCTCCCATGAGGGTTAACTTAATATGTTCTTCCCCCTAATTAAAAGGAACACCACCAAGCCTGGCTTTGTCTCTCTGAGTCCTAATTTTGAAACATCTGCATCTGTACCCCTACAATTAACCCCAGCATCTTAACACAAAGATGGATCACATGTAGAGGCACCTTTTTACATACCTTTTACAGTGAAGCTTCTCGTAGAAAACACGGGCTGTGTAATGAGGTTTCCACTGCATTTTACTGTAGCCTAGATCAAAATGAGATGTTTCTTCATCTTTGGTTGATTGTACTGTGAATTATTCTTCCCTCTGAGGAAAATGTTAATTGACCCCAAAGCCTTGCACATATTAAAACTTATAATTTTAACCCCCTGACAAATATAGGCCAAGCCTGGCTTTTCATTTTAACAATTGCAGCAGTGGTGTATGTGAACTGTGAAAATAACCGATTTGCTGGCTTTAACAAGAGCAGGCCATTGTGTATGCAGTGGTTATTGTATAGATACTTGAGATACAGCTTGTTCTATGGCCTCTCCTGTTGTTCAGAGAATTTCATATGGAAATAACAATTATTCTCTCTGCTAAGGAAGTAATTTTAAAGGTCCTGATCTCACTTTCTCTCGACAATTGAGATTTTATCAGGGGCCATATGAAATATTAAAAATGAATTCAGAACTTGCAGGGCCTTAGGGTAAAAATCTGTACTGTAAGCTGCTTTTCCTGTTGGTTTCGAGGAGGAACACCATTGAAAAATAAATTAAATGGGGCCGAATGCAAAGATAAATAATGGAGCCTGGTTGTGGAATTGCTCGCTGCAGCCCCAGAGCCAGCCCCAACTGTTCTCTCCTTGATTAGCCTCGCTCAGACCTTAGAAGAAAGCAACACGGCAGGGCTAGCGCTGCCTCAATTCCTGGGCTGAGACTGTGGAGCCTTCATCCTTGGCAACAGCGCTCTGACTCAGTACCTGAGGCTGAGGAAGTAACGGCTTCAGGAAAGGCTTAGCATTTCAGCACCACCAGCTGCCCTCACCAGCCTCTCATTGAGGAGCAGCCGCAGAGGAGGAAAAGCCAAGCCTTTCCTACTAACAAAGCCCACCCACACGCCACACAAACTCACAGCTATCAAGTCAAATAAAGGCTCGGGCTGATAGGACTGACTTTAGCAGAGCAGATGAGGCCTCTGATTTTCAAATGAAGTTGTACCAAAGCAGGTAAGTCGCAGTGCCAAAGAAAGATCTGGTGCTTGTGTCCTGTCATGCCAGAGAGAGGAAATGTCTCAGTCTAGTGCAAACATCCTAGGGATGTCACGTGAAAAAGCAATCTGTTTTTTCAGCTCACACGGCTTTCTTCTGTCTGCAGGGGTCTTACTGGGCCATCGACACCAACCCAAAGGAGGACGCCTTGCCTACACGGCCAAAAAAGAGGCCGAGGTCTGGAGAGCGGGTGAGTGTGATGAGACAAACTCTGCATATTCACCAAGAAAACACATTTCTCTGCATATGCTGTTCCTCTGCTAAAGCTTCTGCCTCCATCTCTATTTGGTTCAGGATTCATCTGTGCCTCTGTGTCTCTACTTCTGCTTCCTTTTACCCTCCTTTCTCTCCCACTCTTTCTCTACCACACGCACACACACAAACACACACACACATACTCAGTAGGAGTTCATATCCAGACTTTATGTAACTGCCTCTCCATGCTGCTTCGCTAGCCTGTCATGAAGTGGGGTCCTTATTAATAAACTATGCCCCAGGCAGCCGTTACATACATTACATTCTGCACTCACTTTTTTTAACAAACATCAATTAATGCAGAGCTGTGTGCGCCGGCTATTCTGAGCGGGAGCTTTTGTCTTTAATTATGGATGAGTTTCGTCCAGCGTTACGTACAGCTGTAGAGGTTTTAGTGAGCAGCTCAGATTGACCTGGCCCTGGGGCATCCCGGAGCAGCGGGCTCTCGTCTCCTCCTTCCCCACAATGTGGCTGACCAGAGGCTACAAGGAAAGGAAGAATCTGTTAGGCTGGCGAGGCAGACTCACGCACACACGCTAACACACGCCATTGTCTCTACAACACACACACACACACAGACGCACCGAAACTACATAAAACTTAACATGCTGTTGATGTAGTCGCCCTGCAGCATTGAAATACTATCACATTCATTCAACAACGTGCATCTCTTTGCTGGTGTGAGACTTTATACAACACATGGTAAAGGTACACTAAAAGTACATTGTTTTTAATATGCAGCTCTGCCAACAGTTTCAACTAAACCTCTCCTGATGCAGTTCATTTGAGCCTGACACAAAAGAACGCACCAAGTGAAGAGTGTGTTTTCTCTAGGACACATACGCTGTGCTCAACCCCCCCCACCCCCACCCCACCCCACCCCCGACACTGTCTGCCTACAAGGCATTCCATTAAGAGTCTCAGACATTGAAATTGAGAGTTTGTGAAATCTCATTTATGTTTATCATGAATTAAAAATGGTATTGTTGGCAGCCAATCCTCTTACAGTAAGCAGTTTTGGGAGACAGGCATGGCAGAGTTATCTCTCACAGCAAGACGTGTGTGTGTGTGTGTGTGTGTGTGTGTGTGTGTGTGTGTGTGTGTGCGCGTGTGCGTGTGTGTGCGTGTGCGCGTGTGCGGATGGGGGGCTGTCTCCATCTTCTCAGAAAGCACAGTTCAAATGTGACCTAAATAAAGGTGTTGCTTTGTCATATGACAATAGTTCTGCTTTTTTTTTTGTATCATGCAGATGGATATGTTTCTGGTCTAAGATTGTCACAAACATAATACAGGTCTTGCAACCTGCAGTGGGATCTCATGTGTTTAATAATTGGATGGTGTTGAATTTTTATTATTTTTTGTCTGCCTCCACACCCCGCCCCCAACCCCCACAGGCTTCTACGCCGTACAGCCTGGAGTCGGAGTCTTTGGGGATGGAGTGTATGATCTCTGGAAGTGCCTCTCCAACGCTGGCAATCAACACTGTGACTAACAAGGTACTACAACCAGCCATCCAGCCTCCAGCTCCAACACACACCTGGCTACACGGCTGCACCCTGACCCCACCCACTTCTCCAACCACCTACAGCACTATTCCCCACAGAGAGAGGAGCACTCTAGTGGAGGGGAGATGCACACACACGCGCACACACATACACACACACATATACACACACAAACAACAGCACACGCTCATATGCCTAAAGCTTCTCTGCAATGCAACCCACACCAAAATACACAACTATCTGCACTGCAGCACCTTTTTCCTCTACAACAACAGGCAGCAGGCTCTTGTTATCTTCAGCACGGAAACATGATCCTCACACTGATACTTAGCACTTTGCAACCTGATAGACCTTACACTGTCCCGTGCAGACTTGCAATAGGATCCACCACACGCTGCATGGGATTTCTGTATTCACACCTGTAGTGGAGGTTGACGCCTAGAGTAGTGTTTCTCAGTCTGTGACCATATTATGCTGCCACATTACAGGTGACCACCCCTGCTGCTGGTTCTGTCTGCTCTCTGTTGCTTTTTTTATATGTGTAAAAGCTTGGAAACACTTGTACATCACAGAGCAAAGCTACAGGGACTGCTAGCTGTTAGCTGTGAGTGTGCCGCTCACTCTGAAATTTAAATAGGCTTTTTAACCTTAAGCTCTCATCCTCTGAGCCCAGTGGGGGCAGCTCTCAGGTGTACTTTTAAAAAGCCTACAAGAGTGGCTTATTCATTTGCTGCAAGCATTACAAAAAAACTCTTTAACGTGAACAGGGGTGTTTATAGGATGTGTGTGTGTGTGTGTGTGTGTGTGTGTGTGTGTGTGTGTGTGTGTGTGTGTGTGTGTGTGTGTGTGTGTGTGTGTGTGTGTGTGTGTGTGTGTGTGTGTGTGTGTGTGAGACAGGAGTCAAAGCATATGTCAGCTGGTGTTTTAGCGTGTGTGTACATGTATGTAGAGTATGTTTCAGCTTGTTTTGGCGCGTGTGTCAACGGCGAGTAGCTAGCGGCTGCTTCTATGGAGAACATGCAGTTTTTCATGTTGCTGTTGCAGACAGATTCACAGGCCTAAGTATGGAGAAAGATGACCCTTTTCCCTCTCTGATTGCTACAAACAAGCACTTGCCGCAGCACCAGTCTCCGCCAGCAGTGACAGCATAATGAGGCCCTAATGTAAAGAGCTGACAGTTTAAAGTCTGGACTCCTGCCATCAAATACCTCCAGTCAAATAACTCAGAAAAGCAACAAGCAGAAAATATTAAAGCAGCACAAAATATGACTACTGTGTGATTCCAAGAGCTGATGAAAACGAGTTCTGATTTGTCTCTTTATGTTCACTTGATTGTGACAAAAACTGTTACGGTGGTAAAGTGAACAGAAGACAAAGTGTGATAGCAACAGATCTGAGGCCCTAACTCCTCGGAGAGAGCTTGTTTCTCACTGTCTTACACTGTAAACACACGACAGGCCACGCCTCTTTCGGTGCAGTGTGCCAAGCCACAGGAATTCCCTCCTCTGTTTTTCTCTCTCCTTTTCTATTCCAGTCTCTCTCCCTCATTCCCGCCTTCTCCAATAGACCAATGGGAGACGCTGGCAAGACGACTACTGAACCAGCAAGAATCTCTTTTCTCATTCTCTCTCCTGTCGGACATTCCTCACAAGATCCCTCTTTTTCTTGTGACTTTCTCACACACTAGACTCAGATTTTTCTTCTCCCGCCCCCCTCCAAAGGTTGTGTTCTGAGGTGGCCCCAAACATTGGCGTGGATGTGATGAAACTCTGGCACTGAAGTGTGATTATGAAGCGAAAGAGGGGATTGTTGGAAGTGTGTTTGCTGATAAATAGTCTGTCCTTTTTCCCCTCTTCTCTCTGTCTCATATCCTTTCCTTCTCACTTCCTCTGCCTCTCCCTGTCTTTTCAATCCTGCATGCAGGGATTGTGCTGAACACTAGCTGGCATTGTTGGAGACACCTGGGCCAATCTTGCTTTGATTTCATAATCCATGTCTCATGCTCCAGATTAGGCCCCCATGTAAAAGACACCTCTGGCTTTTTACTTAATTCACTGCTAAGAATAGAACTCTGACTCGCTTGCCTGCTAGCTAACACCGTACACAGTATTTACTGTGAAGCTGCTCCTGCCTGTATGAGCATGCCTGCCTCTGTCTGTGTGTTTTTGTATGTGTGTGTGTTATCCTACCTTTGTGCACATCTGTAGCTGTAGCAATGTATGTGTATGCCATATGTTTGTGAATGCTTCTACGTGTGGGTGAGATGTGACTGGGAGTTTGTCTGTGAGGGTGCGTGCTTGAGTGGGTGTCTTCACTCAGGGGACTCTGGGGTCTGCGTAAACCACAGAGCAGTGAGGTTTTGAAATCATCACACTTTATGGGTGAGTAGAGTAAAAATAGATTGCGGTGAGAGACTTAAGGCTAAAAGCCTGTTTTATGACTTCATTACACATAACATTTATATTTTTGTGCCACGCTGTTTTTGATTAGCATTGTAGGACTGATTTTGTGGACGTGCTTAAGCCTTCAGTCTTAGCTGCTCATTGAGTTCCCCTTCACGCTAATGAACACTGGAGCCAAGCCCACACTGAGTGGAGGAAGGCTAGAGTTGCCTAATGAGCTTCTCTTACTACCCCCCTATTCTCCTCTCTCTCAGCCTCACCCATCTTCCTTCTACAGTATTGCCTGGATTCAGCATTGTGTTTTTTTGTTTTTTTTATCGCAGTATTTCTACCTCATTGTACCAGCTCAGGAGCCAAGCTCCATATTAAAAGCTTAATATGAACGGACGGTCTCACTGCATGTGTGGGTCCTGGATTTGTACCAGCATGTTAGTCAGTGGGCCAATCAGTCAAGAGCAGAGAAAGCAGTCAGAGCTGCCTGGGTTTCCTTGCCTCCTTGTGGCCTTTGTGGTAGCTCGCTGAGCCTCAGCAGAAAGACAAGAGGCTTCAGTCCACCGCTGCTGCTGAGAGGCACGGTGCTGGTTAGGGCCGGGCCAATCTGCCTGCCTGAAGGCTGCTGCCACTGCTGTCTCATTGTGCTGAGCACAGAGCCCACTCTGTTCCACTCACAGAGATGAGCAGAAGCCACCATGCTGCACTCAGTCATGGACAGACACACACAAACACATGCACACACACCAATCTTAGAATGCCAGGCCTCTTCCACTGCAACACCATCAGTGCATTACTGCCATTCCTTTCTCACAATACAAAACTCAACACATGGGCAATTCTCTGTGGGTATCATTAATTTCATTATCTCGATCGTTCTTCTTACTATTGTCTTAATTGTCTGACGGCGCACTTTATTTGGGAAGGGTGGGTGGACTAAACCTTGTTAGACAATAATTAAGATTGTCGTCCTGAAGTGGTTCGGCTAGTTTTGCTGCTATATTGAAAGGTCAGTGTCTCGGCTGCACTGAAATCCTTTGTTAGCTGTCCCAAACGGATTTGCGCTTGGTGAGCAGATGTGGCTGACATCGCCAGTAGTGTGACCTTTAGTGATGGGAATGTCTCAGCTGTCTCCAGACCCCTTTACACATTCAACTGGAACCCCTCAGTGACTGCGGTGGGTGTTCAGCAACACCCTGTGTCTCCCACACACACTCTCAATAAAGTGAAAAGAAAGTACCCTGCTCTTATGACATGTCATTGCATGCAGCAGACACACACACACACACAGACACACAGACACACACTCCGGCTTTACGTTTCCATTCTAAATTACATTGCTTAACTATAGCCCAACATTACCTTTCGTACCCATTGTCTCAGAAGAATGCTGACATGTTCTACCATCAGCAAGTGTGAAGATGACATTGGTAATCTTAGTGTGTGTATGGGAGAGAATAAACCAATTTACATGTATGTGTTTCAGGTGGCGTTGTACAACACAGACCAAGAAGGGAGCGATAGTCCAAGAAGCAGCCTTAACAACAGCCTGTCTGATCAGAGTCTGGCCTCTGTCAATCTCAACAGTGTGGGAAGTGTGCACAGCTATACACCGGTAAGACCACTCTTCACAGGGAGATAACTCTACAGTTTAGAGGTCTTTGCGTGTGTGAAAATCTGGACACAATCTAAAATTGACCTGTGGAAAATCTACCTGAACCCAACGTGTCTAAATTAATTAGTTAAAGCTACAGTCAGTGATTCTAATCCATCCGATTCAAATCAATTCCTTTAAATGTAAATGGGCTAAGTACAAAGTGGCTCAGACCGAGCTACACAACACTATTCCAGCCAATCAGCAACAGGGGCGTTCATGGTTGTGCACAGGACAGGGGGAAGGGGAGATGAGATGGGGTAAAAAGAGGGCAGTGGGATCAACAGGGACGATGCGTCTAACACATGCTAATGTGCTGAACTCCACAACAGGGCTGTTGAGTTCAAATATCAACAGTCTTTCTCCTTTGCTGACTCCACCTTTTAAGACATTGACTGTGAACCGCTGTGTTCCCGGTTCGAGTCCAACTGGGGACATTTGTTGCATGTCATTCACCATCTCTCTACTGAGCGCAATGTGAAAATGCATGCCCCAAAAATAAATCCAATATGAGAATACCAGAGGTTGATGAGGTACGATCCGAAATGTGTATGAACCTGAATGCATCCAAAGAGGAAGAGAACACTGCCACTGGCAGCAGCATGACGCACCACTAATTAACGAGCAGCCGCAGAGGTGATAGCGAGTTTACTGGGATCCATATCCATATTGACAGACAGACTACCCGATCCATTTAGATTGCATATAGTTTGGACCTGATCCAACTTGAGTCCCGGGGCAGGTCTAGTTACATTGACTGACTGGACTTCTGGTTCCTTTGCACCCATCAATCTACACCTGGTACAAAGACAGAACAAATAAGGTCCTGCTGTAGCATCTTTTGTTGCCTTTCTACAAATATACTGTGACCTTGCAGTGGTTCCCAACCCCTTTTCTTGAAAAGGACCTCTTTTCTATCATTGAGTAAACTGACGAGCCCTGACTATTTTATGGATATTACAGTACAGAACAACTGTTAAAAGGAGCAGTTTGAATGAATTTTGAGCAGATTATTTCCTGTAAATATTACATGAGAGGTGTGTTTTCTGATGGTTTTAGGAACTTTTTATACAATTCTGTATGACAATCATACATTCTACCTAAGCAAACAATTTCCTTTAGTTTTCTTTACAGAATTAGACAAAATGCCAAGATAAAGGCCTACTGTGTGTATATTTTTATTTTTCTTGCACCCCTTATAATCACGAATGCCTCGCGGTCCCCTGTGAAGCTTTTGCAACCCCTATTTGGGGTCCCTGCCCTCAGGTTGGGAACCAGTGCCTTAAAGGTTGAAAAGAGGATTATGATCATTCTGGTTGTCGATGTTGCAGCTCATGAAAGTCTCTTAGTTGGATATTTATAACAAGATATTTATATAAATGTAGTGCAATTGATGATTTTTTTTATTTAAGGCCAAATGATAAATTCTCATTTTATTCACATATTTCAAGCTGTGGGGGAGCAGCAGTCACTAAATGAATGAAAATGAAATGCTGCCAGACTTAGAAAGTGTACTGTATCCCATATTTCATCTGATCGGTAAGCCCCAGGAGGCTTTCTTCACAGGAGCTCAGCCGTAGACAGCAATAGACCGAGGTTCACGGTGGACATGCGCTAGAGTACAACATCAGGAAGGGGGTTAAGGGAAACAGAGAAAAATGTGCACGCTCCTGGAAGCCAGACAAAGAGAAGCGCTTCTTCTGAAGTCCTCCCACCAGAGATGCCCCCTCTTTGGTGTGGTCCTCCCGCATCCTAGAGTGCTCCCTGCTCCAGGCTCTGGGCATCGATCGGCTCAGCCTGATGGATGTGCTCTCTCTCTCTCTCTCACAGCCAAAGCAGCAGCTCACAGTAAACACTCTGGCTTTATTATCACCTCTTCACTCTTACCCAAGCCAGACTGTGAGCCGTGCACTTCAGCCGCCTGCCCACATCTTGGAAGAGGAAGATGTTATGATCAAAAATTGGACGTGACCTCTCTTGTAATGCTAGCCCACAGTGGACACAGGTCAGGTCCTGCTTTGTGAAATAGCGATGGTTTTGCATCACTGCCCTTGCTGTGATGAATCTTGTAGACAAACTCGTTGCTGGAGGGAACACGGCTTTCTATCTCACACCCAGGTCCAGTGCATAACATTGACTGCCCACACAAATACATGGATAAAATGGTTGCTTATTTGTACAAGGTATTGCTATTGATTTTGTTTTAAATATATTTTGCTTGGCCACCTGAGTATTGGGTTTGTGTCCGTTCGAGTTGGTCTCTTAATGTTATGTGAGCCAAGGCAGTAAGCACTGACCTAGATTGTTTGCGGTTTGTGTAATTGTTCTTTATATGCTGTGTGACTGACACCTTTTCAGACAGAAATAACAGTTTTACCGTGGCTCTTTAGAAGAATCAAACTATTCTCATATTTGACTTTTGCTGTGTACATTCACATAAACCACCACTTTACATTGAATATTCTAGAGGTTTCTATGTGTTCTGTTTTTGCGGCTCCATGACCAGATAAGCAAGCAAGGGGGTCTTTGAAAAGTATGTATATTATTGAGTGTGCTCCTCTTAGTCCCTGTTGTCTGTAGTGCAGATGTAGCTGAACTCTAGCCGGTGTGCTCTCACAAAATCTTTCACAGATTAAACATTAAACATAATCTTATTTTGCACTCAATACTGCGCTTTGCTTTTGTAAATCTTTAGCTTTCTTCATCTCTTCATCTCCCCAGGTGACCAGTCATCCAGAGCCCGTGTCCCAGTCTATGAGCCTCCAACAGCCCCCCCAGTCCCAGTACAATATGCCAGACAGGGATAAGCAGCTCCTGTTCTCTGAATTTGAAGATCTCAGTGCCTCCTTCCGCAGCCTTTACAAGTCTGTTTTTGAGCAGTCCTTCAGCCAACAAGGTGAGTGGCCTCACGGGAGCATCAAGTGGAAACCTAATAGAGAGCCTAAGCTTCATTTATCAAGGAACAGGAAGATTCTTAGAACAATTTTCCTCATGTGGATTTGTTCTTAACAGCTGGGGCTGTAGAGAGTCTTTAGGCACTAATTGGGTTTACTGAGAAGTGAGCAGGTATTCAACAGGCTGACTCGCCTATAGTGTACTATATTACAGTGTAGCATTTCCATGGTGTTTTGCCAGAGCAATGTGGAAAAAGCCTAATTTCATATTCAAAAGCAGAGTCGGAGAGTTCATGCCTTAAATATTTAATTAGAGGATGTAAAGAGATGTTACTGCATTTATTTAATGGTTATTCAGAACTAATACACCATCCTTCTTGCTTTATATTTTTCAAATAACATGAAAGTTTTCTGTATCTTGTCATGTTTGAAATGTAGGCTGTGTTTCATCAGAGGAGTGGAAGAGGTTACAGGCATCCCAAGTCCTCAGTAAATCTGTTGGATTTGAGGTTCATTTGTCATAATGATGAGGAATTTGTATGATATAATACATAGTGGTGGATAGAGCGCAGCTTTCCAAAAGCCTGCGAGACCCCGCAGAACAAAATGCATTTTTGCTTGTAATCTGATTGACTGATAAACAAAGAGCACTTGACAAGCGGGTTATGAGCAAAGTAGACTGAGCTTTCTGTGTATAACCTACTTTCACAAATCAAATGCATTTCATGCTAATGTTTTCAAAGAGTTCCTCTCCTTTAATCTATCATCTATGTTTCATTAGTTGAAAGTTGTTACCTTTTTTTATGCGCATAAAAGTGAAATCTCTTAGTCAGACAAGCTCTAGCAATTAAAAAGCGTAAATAATCGAGCTAGAGGATTTCACACTCTGCCGTGGTAGACAGTGAGCTAATTCACTGGCTTTGATAATAGGTAATGAGCTCGCATTATTATTCTGGTGCCACGTTAATTGCTTTCTGTATTTCCCTGGTTGGACAATGGGCTTTCTGTGCCGATAAGAGATGCACCTTTGTCACCCCTGCAGTGAGTGTTACGTGCCGATTGTGGAGGTGCAGGGCGAGAGTCAGCTCTAAAAGCACTCCAGTGAAATAGGTTTACTGTGCCAAAGCTGTGAAGGACAGGGCCTCTTAAGACCACTCCCTGCCACTCAGATGATTGCAGTTGGGTGTGCAGATGTTCATGCTCCAGTCATGTCTGTTAAAGAGCCATGCAGCAGCACAATGAATTTGTCAAAGACAATCCAGAGCTGTGTAGCTGGAGAGGAGAGACGACGGCAGCTCCGGCTCGTGAACCTCAGAGACACAACTAATGCTGAGTCATTCCCTGATACAACAAAATGGCAGCTGGTCTGTCTCAAGTGTAGAACTACTTAAACATGGGAGGCCCAGATCCCATTAATGTAAGATGTTAAGATACAAGGCCTTAAGTAGCTGTTTTACATGTGAAGACCTGGACTCTCTTTGTGTTTGTGCTGAAGTGCATTACACTAATACACCTCAGTCTGAAACCATGTGAGTGACATTTGTGTTGGAATAAGTAGTCTCGTTTCACCAGCTAGGGCTTCAACTAAACGATACTTTCATTATCAGTTAATTTGTCAATTATTTTTAGATTCACTGATTCCCAGAGCCCTAGGTGATGTGTTCTGTAATAATAAACAGTCAAAACCCAAATATATTCAATTTAAAATGATAAACTGTGAAAAACAGCAAATCCTCACAATTGAGAAGCTGGAACATGGAAGTGTTTTGCATGATAAACGATTATTCAGTTGACAGAAAATTAATCTGCAAATACTCTGATGATCAAATAATCGCTTGAGCCATCTTTCAGGCAAAAGCCATTTGCTTGTTCCAGCATCTTCAGTGTTCAATAATTGTACGTTGAATATTTGTGGATTTTTGACAAAGGCAGATGTTTAAAGATGCCACTTTGGGCTCTGGGAAAATCTGATGGGCAGTTTTTTCATTATTTTCTGACATTTTAGATAAGATACAACTAATCGATTCACTGGGAAAAATATCTCTAGGTAAATCAATAATGAGACATTAGTTGTAGCATTATCAATTATTAAAATTGTTCCTTTGCATCATTTCCTGTCGATTGACAAGTCCGTCAACAACAATTCGTTTCAGCACTATTAAGAGCTGTTGGTGTGTTTTCTTTCCCAGGTCTGATGGGCATACCGTCAGATTCCTCCCAGCAGACTCACACCTCGTGCTCCTATCAGCACTCCCCCAGTGGCACCATTAGCACTCAGAACAGCCTGTCAAACAACCAACCCAACAATCACCCCAACAGCCACTCCGCCAACAGTGGCCAGGTGCCCCTGTCCCATCCTGCCCAAGCCCACCCCGGCCACGGCTCGCCACACGCACAGCACCTCCCGCAGCACGGCGGCCCCCACAACCAACACAACCAACACAACCAACATGCCCAGCACAGCCAACACAGTCAGCACCCACAGCACCCCCAGCACGCTGCGCACTCCCAGCACGGGCAGCACCCATCGCAGCACCCATCCCACGGCCAGCACCCACAGCAACACACGCCACACCCCTCCCAACACACGCAGCACAGCCAGCACCCCTCTCAACACGGACCGCAGCATCAGAGCCTCTCCCACCAGCCCCATCCTACCCAGCAACAGATGGCCTGCAACACAGGTAAGACCCTCTGTCTGTCATCGTCTTCCTTTGAACCAGTCTCGTTGTTTTCTTCTCATCTTGTTCATCACACAGACACGTCAACAAAAGCAAATGTTTACAGCTGAATATGGTTTTGTGTCAGTCATCATTTTTTTGTCATAAAGCATTGAGAAATTGTTATAGGTGCTAAACACTAAATCACCATCTGATATATTATCTGTGCTGTGGTGAGAACAAAGCAATGCTGCATACAGTGACTGTAGCAGCTCTTACATAGTCGACTGGCTCCTCCTAGTGGCCACAACACGGTGCTGAACTGTTTAAAAGCCTGTTTTATTTGGTCTTACCTTCATTTGGCACAACAAGACTGCCTGCACAGCTATAAAATGTGACTACAATGAAAATGCATCATCTGGCCTTTTTACCTAACCAACATTAAATAACAATTACAGAAGCAATTATTGTGCAGTTGTCCATAAATGATGTTATTAGGTCTAAATCTGTATTTATCCCCGGAGTGAACTTGGTGTTGGAACCAAATTTACCTGTATCCTTCAAGTCTCTTATCTTGTAATGTTACAGATAGTATCCTGTGTGTTTGTTGCAGGTTTACTGTCTGACTGGTACCCAAATCTGGATGCACTGAAAGAAAGCTGTCGTATTGCTAGCAGCTATAACTGGGCTGATGTCGACCTTTCACCTTTCCAAGGTGCGGTTTGGACACTACAAATAGACCTTAATGTATTTACAAATAATAAACGAGTAATAATTCGATAATTTATTTTATTTATTTGCCGGAGATTAGGATTTTTTTCTAGAATAGAGAAGAAAGAAACATTTATGATAGTTGATAGTACAGTACTGCCCCAGCTTTTGATTGAGTGCTGAAGTGTTGACACTGTGGAGTTGATTATGAGTTTAATTAAACTGAGCTCTTCAATTAAATAACATTGCCTTCAAGTTTAATTACCAAAACACCGAGCTCAGCAGGTCAGTTTATCCAATTACAGTCTAGGATTGCAAGGTAGGATGTTTTTAAATATCACCCACTGAAGGTTACTGACATAATGAATACATATTGCAACCAAAGTTTTTGCTTCATCTTTGTAAATTAGTTTCTCATTTACTAAATTTATACTCTTCGGACAGTCGGCTGGTGCAGTTTCATACATTTCATTGTCACAAAGGCATGTTAGTGCAGACAGACACTGTCACTAGCTCTGATTGTAACTCTGGTTGTTCTGTCTATAAATCTGTGTTTTATGTTTCTAAGGATTAAGAGAGAGTATGAGACAAGCGGAGTTGAACAATTGGTCCCTGGAACCCACCCAGATCGCAGACCTCTGCTCGTCCATCAACCAGTTTTTTGCCCGCACCGGTGTAATCCAGCCACAAGGGACAGTGCAGCCTCCTGTTTGTCATGGCTCCATGCACCCCAACAAACCCAGCCAGCACATCAACACAGGTCAAAACCCGTTCCGTAACCCTACGACCTTATTTATGACACGGTTTGATTGCTTTTGTGTAGCTGTGGTGAGTGGTTGGAATGGGAGGGAAATAGTCTACATCATGCATCTTGAGAGATTTAGTCATTTACACTTTGGCACTGTTTCCCTGTTATCTCTCCTGGGAAATGTCATGTAATTGTACAGTATATAGAACTGTTTATCTGTAAGGATATGAATGCATACTAAACTCTAAACTTAAAAAGTCTGTAAAAAATAATACACAAGCCAATTGTCTGAGGAATTTTATCTCACTTAGAGTTTATTCTGAAAGTGCAAACAGACTTGAGCCTTGTTGCTTGCAGTTTATGTCAGTGATTAACCCTTAAAATAAACAACCCATCGTTACCAACTGCATATGTCTACTAGCTAAATCAAACAATGATTTATTTTCTTTTTATTTATTTGCATAATATTTGGCCTGAGGAGAAAAAATATTCAGTAATTCACAAGGAAAAAACAAAAGTTTACAGAAATGTCTCACTGTAGCAGAAATAGGTTTTTGCTGCTCTACAAACCTTGTGAAGGTCGTCTAATGTGACTCAACTCCACTCACTCGTGCTATTACTCACAAAATCCAAAAAGATGAAGTTACAAGAATTACTTACTCTTTTAGTTGAGCCACAGGTATTTTGACAACACAGTGAAGCTTGAAACAGTTCAAACATTGTTTTTTTCTGCAGGAAGCTTTGTCCAGCTGTGTAAATAAAAGTTAAGATGTGTTGCTTGAATTGCATCTTAAGAGATGCATTTCCTTGTTTAATTAAGACTTCAAATAAAGGTTTGTTCTGATTCTCTCTTCAGGAAATCTCTACATGGATTCCAGACAGAGCATGTCCATGATGGGTCCTCCAGGATATCCCCACATGCCCCCCATGAGCAGCACAGGACCCACAATGACAGGTGACACAAAGCCACAGAGAAAAATATCATTAAAATAATTACGTACAGCCATTATGAAACCTTATATTTACAGTTCATTGATTAAAAACCCTCCCTTTGACTCCTCCCGTTCTCTTTCCAGGACACCATGCACAGATGAACCAGCAGCACATGATACCTACCAGAAACTTCCAGATGCATCGCATGCCAGCTGATGACATCCAGGATGATTTTGATTGGGACTCCATTGTCTAGCCCCTTAGACCTCTGTTTGCAAACAAAAGGGAGCGAGGAGAGGAGTTGGAAGCCAGAGGAAGCCAGGCTGAGCTGAAAGGCCACAAGAGAAGGAGGAGGAGGAGGAGGAGGAGGAGGAGGAGGCCACTGTGGGTGGGATGCAGAAGAACATTTGACAAGCTTTGGAGAAAGACAGACTACAGTGTCCTGACATTTTTACAAAAGCAAAACATAACTAGAAAATGTTACTTTGAAGACAATCATATTTAGTCGGACATGTTAAAGTGATGATGCTTATGTACTTGTCTAGAGACAAGTAGAACACATTCACGTCTAAACCACATGCTCCTCAGCTCCTCAGCCAGCCCTCTCCCCGTCCCTAGCCAGCAGCCTTCCAAAGTCCGAACCCCTCTCCCCCCCGACCCCCTGCTCTGTAACTGTTATGTGATTTGAGCGACGTGTTCAGCTTGTAATTCTTCTCGTGTTGACATTGGCCTCAGCTGCCTCTTGGATGAGTTTATCTCTCTTTTTAAAAATAATTATTTTGTTTTATTTTAGTTTTTGAGAAACACAGGCCATCTCTGCGAGTAATGTGATGTGCTCGTTGGTCACTTTTGGGAGAAAGTGGGCCCCACGTTGGCTGCATTGGTGGTAAAGTTAGGTTTACAATAAGTGAGGTTTTGAACAGGGTGTTAAATGTTTAAGCAGGCTTGATATTAAACAAACCAACAGAGAAAGTAAGAGAGAGAGAGAGAGAGAGATCACAGAAAGTATTGTGATCTGATTTCATAGCCAATCAATGTAATCAGGCTCACTGCAACAGACTAGTTATGGGAGTTTTTTTTCTTAGTTCTTTGTCTCAAGCACTTCAAGATGAGTGAATATGATGAGTGTGCGGAGAAAGTGAAAGCAGGGAAGCCAGACATTTTTGTTGTCTTTTTAAAAGTCATTCAACCCAAAGTAACCCGAGGTTTAGGTTCTCTGTGTGCATCATGTCGGTTAGTAATTGCTTTACCAATCAGAAGCTGTTGTAACGTTAAAATACTAAACAGATTTACATTTTCAAGCCAGTTTTAATGGTAAAGTTCATCAGTTTTAGATGAGAAGCCTATTGATCATTAAACAAGCCATCTGACTGCTACATTCATAAGGCCGATGTAAGGATGGACTGATACTAGCTTATCACCAATTTGTCAAATACTGGCATATGTCAGCTAATGTAACAATAAATTGCAGCACAGAAATTTCAAAGATATGTTTGAAATAACTTTGTTAGAGTTTGACAACCAGAGAGCACCGGGAAGTCAATTTCCAAACTGTGAAGTGTCCCATTCAGCACACATCATGATCATATCTCTTTAAGAAATATTAAAGAAAACAATCATCTGATATATCATTATCTGATCTTTTAAACTTTCAAATATCGGTATTGGTACCAGCCTAAACAATCCAGTATTCTTTGGTCTCTAGTTTCTAAGCAATTTCTTGTTTAAATGTACTGTTCAAGTCAGTGGGGTTTGGTTTTATTAAAGGTGTAGTCCGACATTTTGGGAAATATGCTTTATTGCTTTTTTGCCAAGAGTTAGATGAGAAGATATTGCTGTAAATGTGAAGGTAGTAAGCTACAGCCAGGTTAGCTTAGCATAAAGACTGGAAACAAGGGGCAACAGCTAGCCTAGTTCTGTCTAATTGTAACAAAATCTGTCTACCAGCACCTCTAAAGCTCAATATTTGACACAGTATATCTTGTTTGTTTACTCTGTACAATAACTGGAGTGTAAAAGCAGTTTGTGGTTTGACGGGGAGTTATGTGCCAGACTTTTTTTTGTCCGGTTGCAGTAACTTTAGATTTAATGTGTTAATCAGTGAGATTTAGAGGTGCTACTAGGCTGATTTTAATACCTTTGGCCAGACTCAAGCTAGCTGTTTCCCCCTGTTTTCAGTCTCTGTGCTAAGCTAAGCTAATTGGCTGCTGCATGTAGCTTCATATTTACCATAAAGAGTATGTGTGAGAGTATTTCCTAAAATGTCAAACTATTCATTTAAACAAAGTACACTTCAAATTGTATACAAACCATATTCTAATAATTTATACTAGTGGCAGCAAAAAAAATGTAAAGCCTCACTAACTAGTAGACTAATAAATGTTTTATAATAAACTAATGGAGGGCTCACATACTAGCTTCCCAAAGACAAAAAATCTGGTGTGAAAGCTTCTTAAATGTCCTAATAATTTGATTGATTAACGATCAATAGGATATTCATCAAATGTTGAACTTTACATTTGAAAAGGGCAAAAAAAAGCAGTTTTACTGTACATTTCTTTGATTTGTAGAATGAGTCACATTCAAATTCATGCCTTTTTTTCCACCTATTGTACGTCTAAATGAGTTTCCAATGCTACAGTCAGTGTTTATGTGCTTCTGGCATTTAAATTATGGAGATATAATTCTTTTTTTAACTGCCCAATGTTTTGTTGTGATAGCGTAAGATTTTGCTATTATTACAATCATAACAGAATGACAAATGTGACTCATGATACAGTGCATACAGTGTGTGTGTATGTGTGTGAGTGTTTGTTTATTGGTTGAGCATATGGTGTGTGTGTGTGTGTGTGTGTGTGTGTGTGTGTGTGTGTGTGTGTGTGTGTGTGTGTGTGTGTGTGTGTGTGTGTGTGTGTGTTTGTTTGTTTTGGTTTTATTGTAATTTTAGGGCTATGATTGATGGCTGCAATCATCTCTATACTATCTATGAGCACAAAAGCAGATGCACACAGTGATTAAAGACTAGATTTGAGACATGCGTTTTTTTGTGGGAAGGGTTTCTCAAGCACAGAACAAGGAGATCAGCGGTTCTGGAAACTTGTCCTCTGTGTCCTGTAACAAGTGGCTCCTCAATCAGACAGGTGCTGAGCTTTAGAGACACTATGTTTGGGGGGAAAACAAAACAAAAAAAACGCCCTTTGCACATTTACACCTTTTTATTGATCGTGACCTTTTTTAAAGATGCGAAGCACCTCCTGGATCTCAAAAGTTACTCACTCACATACTCATTCATGTCTTTTATTCATTCACTCACAGTTAGACTATCTGACCCCTAGAGGCCATTGTGAGGCACTGTCGCTAGTTGACAATGAACCCCGATAATCTTTCCTCTCTGCAATACTGCTGAACTGTGTATGGTGCTTGCATCTGTTCTGTGCGTCCTCATGTAAAGGAATACATCAACTTTTTGGGAAATTTGCTTTTTCTCGTCAAAAAGTTTCCGCTCCTTATGTCTGTAGGGTAAATATGAAGCCAGCAGCTGGTTAGCATAAAGACTGCAAACAGCTAGCCTGCCTCTATCCAGAGTGAACTAAATCAGCCTGTGAGAATCCTCTCTACTCTCACTAATCAACACGTTGTATCTTGTTTGTTTTTTTTGTACAAAAACTTTAGTGTGCAAACAGTTTATTGTTTTTACAGGGGGTTATGTGCCAGACTGTTCGTTGGCCGGCTTCAGTCACTTCCTGGAGATATAACGTGTTAATTACTTTAGAGATGCTGGTATTACCTTTGGATTTAGCCAGGCTAGCTGTTTCTTGTTGTCACTCTTCGTGCTAAGCTAAGCTCACTTCTGGCTGTAGCTTCATATTTAACCCGACAGATACCAGAGCGGTAACCATCTTCTCATCTAACTCTCAACAAGAATGCGAATAAGTGTATTTCCTAAAATGTCCAACAATTCCTGACAGATCATTTAGGAGCGAAGGACTCCAGTGGTCACCATAGTTTTTATTTCATATTTGGATGACAATCATGGATTCTTTTTTATGATATTGCATAATGTCTTTGTTATTGTGAGAAAAGGCACTTTCAAGTCTCACACGGTTAGAACCAGCTCAGTTTTATACTGTAGATCTTCTGTTAGACTGTGCAGATGAAGTCAAGTTCTCTTCTTTCAACCGATGATACTGCCATTCATTTTTATATTTTCAGCTAATATTTTTCTTTTCTTTTCCTGCCAATCATACCTGTCCACTCCTGCTTCTTTCTGCGACATTTTGTCTGTCTTTGTATATCAGATGTAAGCTGTATGTGGAGGAATGTCTTGCCTGTGGATCTAAACTATGAGTTTTTAAAGTTTTGTTCAACTGCCAGAATTTCTTAATTAGTGCTCAGACCGAATACTTAGTCAGTTGAGTGACCCAAATCATGACTCTTTTAGGTGAGAGTGGGCCAAAGGACTGCAACTGAAGACAGCAGTGAAAAAGAGCATCCATGTGAGCATCATTAGGACTCTATGGACCTACAATAGACAACATCCTGTGAGTCCTTGCTTGGTGTGAAGGTGACGTGTGTTTCAGTTCTTCCAGGTGAAGAGAATGAACATACAAGCTACTATCTGAGCACAAAAGCCCATGGGAAAACAAAAGATTTGAGCTAACGGATGTAGCTAAAAGGGAAAAAGGTGAAGACAATGACTGGATCACAATCACAATTTTACATTATGTCTGTATATGTGTGTGTGTGTGTGTGTGTGTGTGGGTGTGTGTGTGTATATTTGTGTGTTTGCTTGTGTGAGTTTTTTTTTTTTTTTTTTTTTTTTTTCAAAAGACAATTTAAGTTTTTAAATTCCGCTGGACATGTACCTGCCAGAGAGATTACTATTAGTGGGATAAAAGATGAAAAGATAAAAAAAAAAAGAAGCCTTGTTACAATGTGGGAGAGAACTGCCAACAAGTACTGCTGATTGGGGCCTATTTTATTCAGTGCTGGTGTGTTGTTGTGCTTGTACATATATGTCTTTTCAATCATCCCTTTTTTCCTCTCGGGGGTGGGGTATCAAGGCAGAGGGTGGGTCTTACTCACGAAAGACAGGAGGTAAAAGAATAGAGTATTTTGTTATTGTCCAATCAGAGGGTGACAGTATGTATATATCTATATTGTATATATGTGATGAAAATACGTTGGCTTTTTGTGTGACACTACCTTTTACCTGTACTATGGTTCTACATTCAGTGTTTCAGTGTTGATAATATATATTTGGTTTGTGTTTTTTTTTTCTTTCTGTTTTTTTGATTTTGTCTTTGTCATTTCTTGTATTTTTTTCTCCTATTTGTCCTTTTTTTGTTTATTGCACGGTTTATTACTTTTGTTGTCCAATGAGGTGACACAGCTACTCTTTGTATTCGTTTAGTGCTGTAAAATAACTCAAGTGTTATTAGAATTGTCGATACCACCGCCCACCCCACCCCCTTCCCCAATATGCATGAATGGCACTTAAAGAAATAAAATATGGTAACTTCACTGTGGATTAATGTGCTGTTTGAGCTTTGTTCCTGAGAACTTCTGTCGATATTACACGGCAGGATGTTATTTCAGTCTCACGTTATCATCAGCAGATGTAGCTGTTGTCCAAAACCAGAGCATGGGCATGGGCATCTGTCATAATATGAGGAACTTCTCTGAACAAAATATAATTTAAAATACTAATGAAATGAGAAAACCTCAAATAGTAAATATTAATGAATAACCCAAAATGCAAACAAATTAAGATGGATCAAATATCACTTTCTAAGTTAAAATATATGGGCTTTACATCACTGCCTAAATCATATGCTTATACAGCTTTATAAATATTAAAATATGTATTTAAATATGTACATACAGTGTATACTGTATGTAAAATGTTCACCTTTTTTGTCACTTCAGACCAAATTATCACATTTTCTTTGTTCTGAATACAATATCCAACCAAGTAACCAATGTACAAGAACTCTTCTACAGAAAGCGTCTTCTTTTCTTGCTGTTGTCAGACCTGTAAGATACAGTCTTCACTGTAAAAATGCCAGAAATCATTTAGAAGTAGGACAGTTGGTAAACAGCTAATATTACCTATAATATTAGATATAACCATGCCTGCCACAGAAACGTCTTAGCATTCCCATCAACTTCATTTGGTATAAATATAATATGCTCTGTGAATTGATACTCTGTATTTCTGGAGGAAAATTTAATATTATTTCTAGTTCTAGTACACAGTATTCACAGAGGGAAGACCTTAATTGTAAGTAGAGAAACAAAAATGAACATGGTAAATCATAACAATTTTTAAATATTGGAAAAGTTCAACTCAAAAAGTGGATTGTTGTAAATGTAAATACGTCTTAAAGCAACTGCAATATTCTCAACTTCATCTATCTGTTTTATTACAGAGCTTCATAGGCAACCTTATAAGAAAGTATTCAAACTGTTTTTGATCCAGGATAAGGAACAGCTGGTGTATAGTCTTGCCATGTGATCTCACAGTAGGTTTCTCTTTTTACCCACCCAGTACTCGAAGCACCCTCAGAATATTTCCATATGGTGTGTCACTTCACAACATGTGTCCACGCTGACACGTGTGCTTCACCCCTGTAGGACATTCGTTCACAGTGGGGGCACCGGTCTGGCTGCTGTATTGGAGTTTTTTGAAGTTGTTTGACTCTAATGAAAGGACAGACATCATGTTCAAAGCTTCCTCTCTGCTGCTGCTGACCGTCGTCCTAAATGTTCAACTATGCTCATCAGCACCAATACGTAAGCCATGATTTGATGTGTTAATTGATTATTGATCATAATTATTAGAAATGGTAAATTTTCTAACTAATTCAGCAGATTGTTAGCGTTACAGTTCATGAATATGTGTTTATTTATGGTTACATGACATGACTGAATGATACACTGAATGTACAAACTTAATTCAGAAGCATGTTACAGAAGTAAATGCATATATCGTTTAATAAGGTAAACCTGTCTTTGTTGTTACATAATAGGTAGCTTGTGAGTCAAAAGAATCTACGACAGGGAAAGGCAAATATTGCTTTAGGTGTTTTCTAGCTATGAATAATAAAAATATGCATTCAGTTTGGGAACTGACCTCAGTCACCCACGTAAATCGAGAATAAAACTCCTTCTCCAATTGTATCTCAAAATACTTTCACGGCCTGTTCAATGACACACATGCGCCTGTTAGTTCCATGTTCCCTGTGAGACATTTGAACTAAACTTGGATCACTGCACACCCTCCTTATGGAGATCTTCTTAACTGTTACATAATCAGCCATCAGTACATTTGATGCTGTTTTCAGAACTATAGTACACTATGGTATTTACTTTTTGGAAAGTGGCTATACTTGATGAGATGCTTAACCTCAGACCCTTTCAGATTAACTAGATAACTAATATGGCACCAAATTGAGCTCAATGGAATGTAAATCTAAAAAACTTTTTTATGAATTATGAATATGAATCAATAATGACTCAATAATACTAATAAATAGTATAAAAAAGCATAATAATATATATTTATTAACATTATCAACTAAAGCACACTCATTTTATATTCATTTAAATAGTTTAGGTGAATAATGGTTCCTTTGTTGACTAAGAACATACAAAATGGTTGCTAAATCACTAACCTTTGTTGCAGCTGCCAAAGTTGTTCACTCTCTTGTTGAGGCTGAAGAACCAGGTCCAGAGGAACTTGCTCCAGTAATTGAAGACCACAGTCACTTTATAGAGGAGAAAGAATCAGTTCAGGAGAAACTCATTCCAGTTGATGCAGAAGAAGCAACATCTCCTGAGGAATTATCCGCTGAAGAAGACATTCCAGTTGTTGAAATACAACCAGAACCAGTTTTCATCAGAGATCAGGTCTCTGATGACACAGATGAAGCTGTATCTAAGGAAACAGCCATTCAGGAGCCTTTGGCTGCAGCTCCACAAGAATCTTCAGAGGAAGAAACTGTCCCTGTAGAAGCTGCCTTTGCAGAGGCATCTCCAGATGAAACTTCAGAAGAAGTTGCCCCAGCTGTTGCTCTAGAGAGTGAGTCTTCAGAACAGCACCATGTGGAGGATCCAGCTCCAGATGTACCGATCCCCATTATTCCTTTAGAAGCTTCAGAAGATGAAGCTTCAGAGGAAAATGCAGCAGAGGAAGCTGCTCCAGAAGAACCTTTACTTATAGTCCCCGATGACAATACTGACGTAGAAGAACCTCTTCCAGTGACACCAGAAGAAGAGGAAAATGTTGTCCTCGTCCCTGCAGAACTTGAGATAGAGGAGGTAGGTCAAGAGGAACCTGCTCTAGAGGAAACAGCTCCAGAGGAGTCAGTCCCAGAAGATCCAGTTGCCATTGTTCCTTTGGACCCTGTTGAAGAGGAGCCAGAGCTGGAAGAACAAGTTAAAGAAGAATCAATCCCCATAGTTTCCCCAGAAGCACCAGATGAAGAGCCTCCAGGGGAAGAGGAATCAGTTGTCCTTGTCCATGCAGAACTTGACCCAGAAGAGGAAGGTCAAGTGGGAGTGGATGTAGAAGAAACAGCACCAGAAGAGTCAGCCCCAGAAGAACCTGCTATTATTGTTCCAGTGGAGCCCGCTGAACAGGAGCCCGATCAAGAGCAACAAGAGGAAACAGTCCCTATCATTTCTTCAGGAACAAAAGAAGAGGAAGCTCCAGAGGAGCAAGCAAATGAAGAAGCAGTTGCCCCAGTAGTCCCAGAAGAAAATGCTGAAGTGGACCCTGCTGCAGAGGAAACGGCACCAGAGGACTCAGCCCCAGAAGATCCAGTTGTAATTGTTCCTTTGGACTCTGTTGAAGAGGAGCCAGAGCTGGAAGAGCAAGTTAAAGAAGACGCAATCCCCATAGTTTCCCCAGAAGCACCAAATGAAGAGCCTCCAGAAGAAAAGGAATCTGTTGTCCTCGTCCATGCAGAACTTGACCCAGAAGAGGAAGGTCAAGTGGGAGTGGCTGTAGAAGAAACAGTACCAGAAGAGGATGGTCAAGTGGGAGTGGCTATAGAAGAAACAGTAGCAGAAGAGGAGGGTCAAGTGGGAGTGGATGTAGAAGAAACAGCACCAGAAGAACCTGCTATTATTGTTCCTGTGGAGCCCGCTGAACAGGAGCCTGATCAAGAGGAACAAGTGGCAACAGTCCCTATTATTTCTTCAGGAACAAAAGAAGAGGAAGCTCCAGAGGAGCAAGCAAAAGAAGAAACAGTTGCCCCAGTAGTCCCACAAGAAAATGCTGAAGTGGACCCTGCTTCTAATGAAGAACCTCTCCCAAGTCCATTTGACGAAGAGGAATCTGTTGCCCTTCCTATAGAGCCTGAAGTTCAAGTGGACCCTGCTGTAGAGGAAGAAGCACCACAAGAGACAGCCCCAGAAGACCCAGTTGTCATTGTTCCTTTGGACCCTGTTGAAGAGGAGCCAGAGCAGGAAGAACAAGTTAAAGAAGAATCAATCCCCATAGTTTCCCCAGAAGCAACAGATGAAGAGCCTCCAGAAGAATATACAGAAGTAGAAGCTGCAGGGGTGCCTGTCCCAATAGTCCCAGAAGAAAATACAGAAGAGGACCCCGCTAACAAAGAACTTATTCCTAGTACACCAGAAGAAGAGGAATCGGTTGTCCTTGACCATGCAGAACTTGAACCAGAAGAAGAAGGTCAAGAGGAAGCAGCTGTAGCAGAAACAGCACCAGAAGAGCCTGTTGTTATTGTTGTTGTGGAACCTACTAGTGACGAACCAGCTCCAGAAGACCCTGTTGTCATCATTGTAGAAGAGGATGCTCCAGAGGATAACACAGAAGAAGAAGTTGTCCAATCAGATCCTCTACCAAAGGGAACAGTCACAGCTCCTGCCCCAGCTGTCACTGATGTAGAACCTGAAATCATTCCCACTCCTGTGGAAGGTGGTAATGGCACCAGCAGTGAAGATTTCAATGCTGCAATTAAACTGATAGAAGAAGAACCTGTAGGTAAGAATCCAACACTGAACCCTTTAATCAGTACTTAACTATGATGACGTAAATGTGTCTCTTTTTCACATTTAAAAGATGGTGTCAGTAATTGTGAAGAAAGAGAGTTCACTGTTGAGTCTCCTTCCCAGGTCATCTAATACTTAACTTTAGACACTTTGAGCAGGAATGCCACCTGTTGTGTTGTGTGTTTTCTTTCCATTTATCCTAACCCAAAGGGTCGGTATTTTATGACCTGGGAATGATCTCAATAATTATTAGTTATCTTTCTCCACAATGACTGAACCAACATTTACATGTAACTTCTTCTATCATAGGTCTACTAGCATGAAAAGTACATTTTGTCCTTTTAACATATTAAAAAATTCTAACATGTAATTATTGTCAATTATAGTGAAAGTTAAAAAATGTTCATGTCTGTTAAGAGCTCACAGTGAGAAAAGTTAAATGCCATGTCCCAATTATGAGATGATTTCACTAATGACAGTTTTGGTCTCCCAGCTCTGATAAACAGGGGGACAGTACTGGGTGCAGCATTCTTCACACTGATGTCTTTTATCATTGGTGGATTTATTTGGATGACTGTATCCAAGAAATTGCACTGAATGTAAGTGAGTACAACAATGTCACCAAATCTAATTTGTTTTAATCCACAATTATCAAATGGTTTAGTATTCAAATATGTCTATAATGTCTATATTTCTCCTATTTTAGGACACTGAAGTAAAGATCAGCTGTCAGAAGATCAGATCAGTTGTTTGATGAAATATGGAGCAACTGAAGCATAACAGGTTTCTCTGCATTGAATATTTGCTGAGGAAAAGACAACTGAAGGAAATTCTGCAGTTTCTTCAAGGTTGAAGGACAGAAAGTCACTATGTTAATGTAAACCAGAGGTGGAATAGGTATTAAGATCTCTCCCTGATGAAGGCATGAATATAAGTAGCACTTTCCTGTTGGTTGAGGAGGAGGTAATATTACCTACTTTATATACTTTTGGGTAGATTAAAGGTGTCCTGTTGAGTTTTCTTGTAAACAAACAAATAATTTTAATAAATTTGTTAACATTCATAAGACATTGTTTGTACCCTTGAGGTTTAACAAACCCATTGAGTGAATTTCATCCTCAAAAAACAAAGATTTTATGAATATTTTAAATTCCAATGTTTACATGCTAGCAGTCACCTTCTTTGTCTTCTTTGCGTGTTACCACCACCTTCTGTCAGGAATGTGTATTGCGTTGTCAATGTCCTAATGAACAAACCAAACACTAGTAAAAGCATTGCTCCATGGTGCTACTAGTGGTCAAAAGCTCCACAGGGTACCTGTAACCTATGCATATCTATATGTTACAGGCTGATCATAAGCTTTGTGTGTAAAATAAGGGTGTCAAATAAATGCAGTGGAGAAATTAATACAACATTATGCTCCAGTATTGTAGCGTAAAATAAATGCTCAAAGTATAAGTACCTCCACATTGCACTTAAGTACATTTTCCACCTCTGTTCTTAAAACTACGTCTTGACATATTTAAAGGTGTGGAATGAAGTAGATTATTAGCTACTTGAGAGGATGATAACATGCAAGTATAAATGGTATAGAAGTGCTTTATGAAAAATGTGAGCATGTGACCAACTTTACTAAAGGGGGAGTCATGCTCTATAAGACTTGATTTGTTGGTGTATTTGACAGTAAGCATTTATGAATGATGAGTCTTTATGTTTTGATTTTGAAATGTATGTATGATGAAAACTTTAATGCACTGGTAACTTTACTTGTAGTTTTTTGATTGTGGAACATTAAAGTAATGCAGTATTAGTATTTACTTTATTGTGGTTAATCAATTGAACTTTATTATTACTATAATCACAAAATGTTCTTTAGGTACAATATGTACATGTCCATGGTCCTCTTGGCTCATACATACAGTACAGTCTACCACAGGCATGAAAAAGCACACACCTCCTTCATGCTCTTTAAGAGCTAAGTAGGCCTATCACTTTCCCTGTGCTGTAATGCAGCAGAGACTGAGAGCTCTCCTATCAATCACACTTTGGCATGTTGCAGTACCAGCTATATGTCCACAGCTCATCCTGCACACAGTAAATATTTTTAGGATGGTGAGGGGGACATGGTGTTCCAAATGAAACTGTGTTCTGCACCCAAGTACAGTAAACATATCCCATTATACCAATTGTATTTGTTTTAAAGAGCTTGTATGAAAAAATGCCGATTTACAAGACCTGGGAGTGAAGACTTTAATAAAATAATTATTTTTTTTGAATGAATTTACAGCAGGTACTATGGCCTTTACATACTGCACAATCCTCAATATTCTCCATATTAGTTCAGCTTTTATTTATTCAGGAGAACCAATTACATATATACATCACAAGAAGACAACCAGTCATCACACACACTAATTAAAACACACAAATTAATAAAATGACAAATATTATTTAAAATATCAGAAAGTAAAACTTTATATAAGAAGTATATTTTATATTGAACAGACAGATTATTTAGGATGTGTACTAAATATTACACATTACATTGCTCAATGGCTCTTATGTGTATAAGCAAGAATAGTCCTACATTTTTTAGAAAGTCAGCCATCTATGTCTTAAAAATACTCTGGTAAAAGTAAAAGTACTGATTCAACTTCTTTATTCAAGTACAAGTGAAAAGGCACAGGCTCTAAAATGTACTCAACGTATAAAAGTAAAAAGTACTTTCTTGGTTTATCTGAAGGACATCTGAAGTTAACTGAAACTTCACATAGAGTTCAGTCTCTTTCTTGTCTGTTTTTGTTATGTTACTTTCCTGTGTGATATTCACCGGTCTTGATGTAGGGGGGGAAAAAATTCAATAATTCCCCTCAAATGCACTAAAACTTAAATAATGATCTTTGAAAACATTTTGAAAATGTAAGGAGTAGAAAGTATAGATATTTGTGTAAAAATATATGGGAGTTGAAAAATAAAAAAAACTTCAAACCTTAAAAAACTACCTAAAGATTGTAACAAACTATTCTTAATGACGAGGAGGAATGATTACAGCAAGAAAATCCTGTTTCAGTGTTCATATGGGAACCTGACAATTGTTTTAAGACAGACTTGAAAAAATTGTGAACCAGCCTTTAAGGGAAAACTGTGATTTTTCCAAGAACAATCGAAATTGATGGACATCCTAATATGGGAGACAAAGACTTTTGGCTCTCATAAAAAGCAGGAGGGCCTGTGACAGCTGTCAGCCTGATGGACATGGGAAGGTCATCAGGGTGGAGCAGGGGCAGAGGAATTTACTTGAGCAGTAAGGGGGGAAGCTTGTGAAAATGGGACAGGAATCAGCACATCTGGTTGAGAGATGCTTTAAGCGCTAGGCTTACAGACATCACGGGTCCACAGTGTGCTTCCTCTTGTGTAAGAGCATTAGTTTAGAATAAATACAAGTGGAAAACAGGAGCTATAGTCAAAACAAGAATCCTGGCTGACTCAGGTGTACTGAATGAGACTTGAAGTGCAACAACTTGCCGACTGTGTCATAATGTGGCACGAAGTCACGCCTTGAGAAGATGTTACACAGATCCTTTCACAATTACTAACAGTAAGAATAATGTTACATTTTATTCCTTTAGGGGTTATAGACACTTTGTTGCATGAATGCCACCATGCAGACAGACTTTGTTTTGCCACAGGAAGATGTACAGTCAAACACTCAGATCACACATCTGCTCATATTTGTCACAGACATACTTTCCTGTCAGTTGTCGCACTGCATTAATAGTTATACACGCAGCTTTAATTATTTCAGTCCTGTTCTAATTACTTCACACATTTCCAGGCATAGACTTAAATCTGAAGAGGACACTGTCTGTTTATGGTAGCACAGCAGCCTCTAGTGGCCACAGGTAATTCTTGATTAAATGATGATTAAAGTCATTACCTAGCATGCCCTTTGAGAACCAATATGACACATTGACACCTGAAGAAGCTTTAAAACTGCTTTTTATCATTTTGAGTCTAATAAATGTACATCCTGTTTTATTTTGATTTTTATTTAAGGCCATGTTGGATAATATGACAATATATACTGTAAATTCACATTTGTATTATGTCAACTACAGTATGCCTTTAACATCTCTGGTTCTGTGAAACCATTGTGGACAATTTGCAGCTTTGTTTTAAGACATTACTGAACTTTCACATGATTTTTGCATCAATAGGTTAAAGAACTTTAATTTGTCCGGCATTTAATTATACACCTATCTTACTTTATTTATTTGTTGTTATTGGTTTATTTAGCAGGGACAGTGCACATTGATAAAACTTTGCTGCACCAAGGTTAGACAGGTTGTTATTTTTCATCTGCATGGACTTTGTAACCAATGTCACCTTGAAATTACAAAGTCATTCAAAGTCAAATCATTTCTAAGCATGCAGAACAATAATGAAAAAATATATATATTAATGTTAACAGAAGCATCATTCTGGACACCCTCATACATAATGTAAGAGCACATACAAAACAATAAAATTACGGATATTGGTATTAATATGGACTAAATAAGATGACGCTGTTGAATTGTTAACACTAGCTGAAACAGGCAAAGCAGAAACGCAGTCATGAAAACCACAGTATCTGACACAATAGAAACAAAGCCACAATAAAAGACATGCATGCAGGTGCATGAGGGCAGACTGGTGACAGCAGACAGCAAAGGAAGTTCAGCACAAACAGACTGAGGACAATAACATGCAACTCAATTAGTGCTGACAGAGCTCAGTACTTATTAACCATTTATTTAAATGAGCTTTAATGTGTCCGGCTAAAAATTCAGTCTAATACAAAAGAACGGCAACAAATCTTACATTCATGGAGGTTATAATGTTTCAGAGAGCACAACAACACCACAAACTACAGCCTCCAAAATGATCCCAAAGTTAAATCAACACCGCTCTAAAATAACAAAAACTGAACACTATCACCTTATTGTTTATGTATTATGTTTAGCTATAGGAGTACCTTATAAACTGGAAATTGAGTGAATATTTGATAAAAACTAACTCCTAACTGCTATCATCTTACTGGAAAGTAACTGAATGCTGTGTGTTAACCCACAGTTATATCATATAGCCTATAACATCTTCACTTTTTTGTATTGTCACCACATCTAATCTGCTTAAATGTGATTTAACTATGTGATTTCTTTTAACACCAACACAACCCAGTACTCACTGGAAAGCAGCACTGATACTAATTATCCCGGTGCAATAAAAGTACAATGAACTGAAACAGTGTTTATCCACTCATTTATTTTGAACTCACATAAATTACTTTTACTTATCAGTTGGCAGATGTTGTAGAATAAGTGTATTAAAGAACACGAGGGAAAGCAACACAGCAACAAGCTGAAAGAACGGAATATACAAAACATGCAACTTGAGGACCTCCAAATAACACCTTTCCGTCTGCATTTGCCTGCTTTTTTATTGAGTTCTTAGCTATTCATGGATGCACAGATGGCACCAGCCTACAGGCCCATTATGCTCACAGATGAATCTAAGCAAGGTACTTAATTGGCATGGTTTCATGTTAGGCTGCAGCGTGGACAGGACTGGAGCCAGTGCCTGCAGGAGAGGAGACCAGGGAGCCTTGTCGTCTATTAAAGAAACCTGATTGCTTAACATTATTGGCCCATCGCTAAGTGTAAGTGTGTGTGTGTGTGTGTGAGAGAGAGAGAGAGAGAGAGTGTGCGCGCACGGGGTCTGACAGGCTGCCTCTCCCAACTACACTACACCACGATCCGAGTTACAGAAGAGGCTTTCGATCAAGCCTCCATCCGCCATTTTCAGCAGATTGAAAGCAGGTAGAGCACAAAAATCATAAGTCCCCGGTCAAATAAAGCAGGTAAGTGCGCCTAAGAGTAGCCTAAACCCAAAAAAAGAAAAGCAGGCTACGGCAGGAAACATTTAAGGAGGGAGAAAAAAAAAATCAGCTCCAGCCACCTTACTCCGGCCAGCATCGGGAAGAATAAGGAGAGCGGACGGTTTGCCTACAAGGGTAACAATAAACTCTATCTTTCAGGCGATGTACGGTTTACATATCCGTTCATTTTATCTGTCTTTGTCAACTTTATTGGGGGATGAAACAGAGGCATAACGCTTTAAAACCGCTTTACGCACACACCCACATTGAAATCTCTCCATTTGTTGCTTGAACTTCAGCTAGAAGGGGGTTTAAAAATGTCTGATCACAACTCACACAGCAGCGGATTATAGTAAATGGGGGTGAAAAAATAAATCAAATGAACTGGCCTGTTTAAAAGTTCATGCATTTTATCCTTTTCTTTTTGAGAGGATGCTATAGCTTGAGCACCAACACATCTGTAGACAATCAGGTTTATTGTCTTAGCTTTGTCATTTATCTGCCTTTGAGATAATACAGCAGCATCGTGAAGTCAGGGAAGAGTCGTTAATGTCAAAAGATCTGCTACTGAACTATATGGAATATTTGTATTTTATTTTTTTGTTTGTTAATGAATTCAGTGTGATGTGTGAGCTCAGCCACACAACACATGGGTCAGCTCATTGTGCTCCTGAACAATTGGCTTTTTTTCTGCCAGTTGGGACAAAAAGCAAGTAAGTGAAGCACAGTTAGTGCTTGTGATGGAAACATTTGAATAATAAGTATTTATATTCATGCAAAAAAAAAAAAAAAAAAGAGCTGAAAGTTGATTTCATTGACTAGTTAATTAAGAGGAAATATGTTGACTTTATGATAATTGATTATTTGTTTGAGTCATTTGCAACAGTCACTGGTTCCAGTTTATCAGATGTGAGGCTTTGCTGCTTTTCTCTTTTTTTATTCCACTGAATTGAAAATATAAATTATCACATACATTTAACAATTGAATACATAAATTACATCTTTGTGTGCTGTAAAATCAAGACATTTCATCCAGAATTTTACATCTCATACTGTGAATTTTTTTAAGATTTTAGGACTTTAGCTCCTCCTGATGCTGTGCTCATCCTATCTTAGGGTTATCTTTGGGGTTTTCTAACAAAACAAGCTATTTAAAGACATTGCATTGGCTCTGTAAGGTTGTAAAGCACTGTATATCTTCTAATTGTAACATTTTATAGGTACCTTTTTTTTTAACGATTAATAATGAAACAAATCTGCAAACAAATTCACACTGAAAGATATTCTTAGTTGCAGCCCTAACAATCAGCCTGTATTCATATGATACACTTCTTGTTTGCTATGAAAGGGCTTCACAGCCTCACTGTTTTTTGTTTTTATTATCATAGACTGGGAAAAGGGAAATATCTCTTAATATTCTGTCTACCTGTCATTATATTTGCATGTCACAACTTCCATGAAGCTCATATTGCAGCACAGACACTGCACTCTCTTGTCATGACCCTGGACAGGCCAGTACCGCTATGGAAATGAGTCATACTGTAGTAAATTTGTTTTTGTTTTTCTGGTGTCGTGTTTTTAGTTTTATGCAAAAAATCTGTTGCCTTTGCTAAGATGCAGTTTGTATGAAGTGTGCTGCTGCTTCTTTAAACACTTACTTTTCTCTCTATATCTCCAGTCCATGTGATAACGCTCCAGTAAGACTTGGTGCCCACTGTGTTGTGGAAACCAACCTGAGCAGGTAAAATATCTGCTTCATACAATCTTTAAAATTAGGATATTATCTACTGGTGTTCAACATGTCGTGCATAATTAAATTTGACATTTTCACAGGGTTTTGATGCCTTTTTTTTATGTATTGTAGATCATGGCTATCACTGGAGGGACAGTGGAAACTCTAGATGAAATTCCAGCACATGTGTGGAAGGGTTTGCCGGACTGTTTGAGTCTCAGGCCTTCTGCTATAAATCAAAGCCGCATTGGTGAGTACATAATGTGTCTTTTCTGTTTAAACAACTGCAACTTTAACAACGTCTTTTAAAGACTGTTAACATATTCATTTGTCCTTTTGCATTTCATTAATGTACGTGTTTGAAAATGACTTCCAGCAGTCAGTGATGGTGGACCACAGTGAGATCAGGCTGTGTTCAGTTAACTTTATTATCAATCACCCTGAGGGGGGAAATTGTTGGAAGGGCATGTGGAATACAATAAAGTTGTAAAAGATAGGAAAGTAAACATTTAAAAAACAATTACACAAATAAATCTACACTGTTAAATATTTAACAGCTACTTAAAAGTTGTCAGTATTATTTTAACAAACTAAGCAAGATCATTTAACTCTTTGATCATTTTAGACTCTTTCAAATGTAACAGCGTCTAAACTATTCACAAATCACTAATATTGTGACTACGCATGGGACAGTATGAAAATTGAATGTCAAGATTATCCTGTCCAAAAAAATTGCGATGTACGATATCATTGTAATAATCATAAAAATATGCTTAAAATTGGCGTTAAACACCGTTTGTGGATGGCGTAGATAGAAGTGATGAGTTGATGAGATGGCGGAGGGCAGTGGATGAGGGTAGAGATGAAGATGTGTATGTGCAGGGTTGTGAGTTTGAATATGTGTGTGGCAAAAATGGCACTAAAACCTACTGGAAACCCTTTAAGTTACATTTAGTCAAGAACAAATATTTTCATTGCATCACAGATGATACACCTCCAATAGCTAGTTTAGATAGTTTGAAATCCATATTATTTCCACACATCTTTTTTGTGGGGGGGGGTACAATGAGCCAACACAGTGTGACAGGATTTTAGGATTTTGGAATGACTGGAAAGAGGCTCCCCCTTGTGGCAATTCAAAATATAAGTCAGGAGATCAATGAAGGACTGTACCTTTAGTGAGCTAGTAGGCTTTTTCAAGTCAAGCCATATAATAAAAGATAATAGAAATCCACCATGTTAAACTTATCTAAGTATGTTTTTATATTGCGTTATGCATTAATACAAGTTTGTTTCTATCTTCGTCAAAACCTCAACAAACCAACATATTTGTCATCTTTATCTCCTGTCAAACATAAACTACACTTTCTCTGAACATCTTCACCTGTTTATCTCTTCTTTTGAGGCTACCACACATAACTTCAGACAGATTTGTTCTGAACCGTAACCCTAAAAACACAATTAGTCTTAAAGGTATAATATGTAACATTTACACATTGAAATGTCTAAAAACTACTAGACCTGTTATATTTCTGAGTTGTGTACTTTTATTATCTTAAACGTTTCCAACAATGATAAAACCTAGAGAAATCCATAACCTTTATTTTAGGTAATAGTGAATTTAATTTGGTCACCTTTACCCTCTGGTTGCTTTAACTTCCATATAAACATTAGATACATCAGAGAGTGAAGAAGCAAGTAGAAAAAACTGAAACACGTTACCTCGTCCGTGAACGACTGTCATGGGAAATGGTGGATTTTTAACAATTAAAAGAACTCCTTTAATCCCATTTTACTTCACAACTTCATTAAACAACGTCTTTTGTTGATGTTTTTGAGGTGAGATACCCCAAATTACACACAGTGCTCGTCATTCTAATCCTGAAGATCATTGAGTCTGAGCTTAAGTTCAACATAGTACCGGATCTAATCTCAAATCTAACAGGTATAAGATGTTCATCCTTACTCTTTTGTGTTTTAAGGTGTCTGGGCCACTCGGGTCATTCCTAAAGGCAAGAGGTTCGGCCCATTTGTTGGAGAGAAGAAAAAAAGGTCCCAGGTGACGAGTAACGTTTACATGTGGGAGGTATGTTAAATGCTGCTCTGTTAGCTCCTTTCCCCAAAATACTCACCTCCAGGTTTGTGACAGTCGCTGCATAGCTAAGACAAGCCCAACTGCATTCTGCATCAAGTGTAGTCAAAGTGCTGTCAAGAGTTCACATGTACCTTTTAACATTTGTTGTTACCTGTAAATTATTTAAAATGTTATTAAATTACTATGACAGATGCTACTGATTATGTTTTCGCTCCCACTCGAGGTTAAGGTGACCCCATTCAGTCCCAGTTCTTCCAGAGTTATCTCTTTCTACCGGTGTCCTGTAGGTTTATTTTCCTGCGCGGGGCTGGATGTGCGTTGACGCCACAGACCCCACGAAGGGGAACTGGCTGCGATACGTGAACTGGGCTCGCTCCAGTGAAGAGCAGAATCTTTTCCCCCTGGAGATCAACAGAGCCATTTACTACAAAGTTTTAAGGGTAAGTCAAACGACGTGTAAGTCCTACAACCAAAGGGCACATGGGCTGAAGTGTAGTGAGTAAGTGGATGAATAAAGAGACTTCTGGGTTTGGATTGTTTCTGAGATAAAAGCACTGAGAAGTCAAATACTAAGCCCCCCTCATGTTTGTAAAACATTCAATATAATGTAGTCCAGTTCAACAACTGCAAAATACAAGCTCAATAATACACATATTGTTAAAGAATACCTCAGTGTCAGTCACAACATTATTATTATTATTATTATTATTGTTGTTTTTAAAGGTATAATTTCTGGCTGAACTGTTGTTAGAGGCTGTATTAGGTTGTATAGGTGTACCTAATAAAGTGAACAGGGAGAGTATATTAATATTGCATTCACATCATAAATAATGACACATTATCTGCTTTCAGTAATAAAAAGTATTGCCATTGTGCCATTATTGATGATTTTCATGATGTTATCAGATAAAATACAAATGTTGTGCTGTCTATCACTCGTAATTTTGAATGTTTGTTAAGATGTATTTTTATATTGTTATATTTTTACTTAAGTAAAGGATCTGGATAATGTCTAATACAGAGCACACATCCATCAATGTGTTATATGAAGCTTAATACACATTTAAGATTCACGCGAATCTAACAAAGAGGTTAAATTGGGTTGGTGGTAACTCCAAAAAATGTGCAGACTATGATTTAAAAAAAAAAAAAAAAAGTCAAATTCCATACCCCCCTTAGACAGCTAAGATGCACAGTGGCCCAAATATCTCCCCCCTTGCCTCTCAGCAAGCCGGGCTGTGATTGGTGGCCGACCTCATCTTTCATTGTTGCAGCCTATCGGGCCGGGAGAGGAGCTGCTGGTGTGGTACACTGTGGAAGACAACCCAGAGATAACAGCTGCACTGGAGGAAGAAAGAGCCAGCAGTCAGAACAGGAAAAACTCACCCAGGGCGAAGCGAGGTAAGGCCCCTAACTGAACGACCGAGATGACATTCCTGCTCGGGTTCAAACCCCCGACGTGTGCGGTGGTCACACGCTGCGCCAGATTAGCCACCGATCGATTTCTTTTGCAGCTCAGTCGAAGTTGTAGCTAAGCTAGCTCACCAATGAAGGCAGGCTAGCGGCGGCGGCTAACGTTAACGGTTGCGATGTGTGTGTGGGGCTTTTCTTACTTTCATACCCGACCTGAAAGTCGTCGCTGCGGGCAGCTTTAGCTCTAAATAACCGACGATCAACCGACTCGTTGCCGTAAAATACCCAGTTTAGCCGTTCGACGAGCATCTGAGTAACTTTTTAGAGCAGGTTTTCCTCCTCTGGGTCCTGACGTTGTCGAGGATGTGACCTTCCTTGAAGTGCCTACAGCATGAGAGCCATCCATCGGCGAGCCTCTCCACTTGATGATGGCCTAGCAGGTTAGCTAACTAGCCAGCTTCCTTATTCAAGTGCAGGAGGGGGTGGGGGGGTGCTGTTATATTAAGAGTGCAGGTAATGGAGGACAACCTTGAATATAGGTGATATAGCTTGTGGCGTGTGTTTTTTTTTTTATAATTTGGTTTCACGTTGTTCTGGGTCCAGAATAACCAGTTCATCGAGTTGTCAGACTTGGTCTCGCATGCTAGCATTAAGCTAAACGGCTAGGTCTGAACGCACGGACATCTCGGTGTTAATACAGGAACAGATGGCAAAGTGCCTGAAGTTATTTATTATTAAAAAAAACCCTCATCATATCGATACGATGGACAGAGAGATAATAATCGGTCGGCCTCGTGTTATAAGCCTGGTTGGATAGCGTTAACATCAAAAACAAAACCATTAACTAAAATGACAGAAACATCTTTTTTTTTTTCTTTTTTTTCTTTTTTGTAGTGAATTGTTTCCGCAATAGATTAATGGGAATTGAAAAACGTACAAAAATAAATAAAGTCAGAGATGTATTATTAACTAACAACCTGGTTGCTTTATGTCACAATTACATCTGTCAGTATGAACTTTGGACATAATGTTTCCATGTTTTGCATCATGTGGGTAGTTCATTGCAGAGAGGGGATAAAGGGACATTTGTAATAATGTATATATTCAGTGTCCACTATCTGATCTGTTAGCGTCTGGTTTCACCTATCTGTCTAAAAATCTTACAGGGGAATGAGAGACATTGTGTAGTGTGTTGTAATGTAGGGCATAATGTAGTGTAGTACCACCAGAATTCAATAGTCCTGTCTAGATAATACATCATGTAGGTGCTTACAAGTGTGATTTAGAGCCTCTTGACTCTTTATTTATACGTAATTAATCGACACATAAATATAGACAACATACAGGAAGTCAAATCCGTCCCTGAAATGTCTGTAAAATAAGGTATGAACTGAAAACAAAGTATAGGAGCTGTGAGTTTTTTAGCTTTGAAATGTTGTCATCTTTAATTTAAGAAAAAAAAATGTTATGTCATATCTTGTGAGAAGAGCCTCTAACACATCACTTATCTGTACTGCAGTGTGGTGGCGTTTGACAGCCCTGTGCTGTACTGCAAAGTCAACCGTGATGAAGTTGGCCTACCTATGCTGCTAGCCTCATCTTATATCGTACATAATATAAAACAACGTGCCTATTACCTAACCGATGTATGCCACAGTCGGTGTCCTTGCTCAGTGACTGCGGGATTTAAAAAATAATACAGAAAGGGCTGCGGCTGTTAAAAACTAGAGCAGTTAAATGATAAAAAATGTGAGGTAGTTGTGTTAACTGCTGTAGATTTAGCAGAATGCCTCGGACCACGCTGGTCAGATGACTGACCTGCAGCATGTGTTACTCTGGTATGAATTAGGCTTTGTAGGCCAGGTCAGGTGACCTTGTCGACACACTCCAATGATGAGGAGGTGCCAGGGAAGCCTCTTTAGTCACACAAGGCTTGGACATTTAAAATAGTGGCATAGTCTGACACTCAGTTTATCTTGTTTATCAGTTGTCTTTTTTTAAAATTACTGATGCATGAAAGCACATCATTTTGAACGCAATGCGAGGCTTCTTTAGGACTGGCTGCAAGGTTTATTCATACGTTTTCATTTGAATTTCAAAGCAGTCACTTTTATTCTTGCTGCTTTTTTGATGTTGTAATTTGAGCACATGGAGTGAAAAAGTAAAATGAGTTGAATTAATTGCAAAGAAATAATCATATCTTACAAATATGTTGATGCTTCATTGGATTCATTAAAAGACATCCCTCGAGAAGGCTCTTTGGTTAATAGAATTTGTTTTGCAATAAGCGAACAAATTCTGCTATTGTGGCCAAAAATGTGATATTTAAGAAATAATACTGCCCAACTTAACGTTTCCCATCTTCTTTTCCTGTTGAAAGAACTGGTCTAATGATGGTGATTTTTATTGGTGCATCGGTGAGAAGGATTCTGCTTTTTAGTATTTGTGGAAAAACCCTTAAAATGTTAGGATATAGTAGTATCAGTTTGATGCACATTCATTTTTAAACCTGTGTTTGCTTTTGATCAAGCCTGACACAAAGGGATGTGTGTGTTTGCACTTGCAGCCAGGAGAAAGCTGCTGGAGAGAGCCAGACAGGCTGGTTTGGGTGGATTCAAGAAAACGAGTGTAACCAAACCTACTGTCAAGGAGATGTGGGATGGGGAAGAAGGCAAGTTGACTTATTGTTATGGTTAGTCGGCAAATTTACGTTTCTTTACCCACTCTTTCATTTAGCATTTCTTTGGTTAATTGAAATTCCTGAAATGGTTTGCACAACTTGACACTCCTGATAAATTGTTTACAGGTCTGAAGGAGGAGGATGAGAGGCCATCGACCTTAGGACCCTCCCAGGAACTCCAGGAAAGCCATCCCATGGGAAGCACTGACCATAGAGATGTGGAAGACATGTCAGTAGTGATGATGGACGGGAGAATTGGGGATGAAGAGGATGAGGAAGAAGAGGACGAGGACGAGGAAGATGCCGATGATTTGGAGGAACCAAGTGAAGTACAGCAGCACACTGCTCAGTCCTCACTTGCGGCTGATTCCACGCAAAATAAGCAGCCTGGCCCATCGCTGACCCGTGGTGAAGAAAGCCATAAGGATTCACAGGGAAAGTTGGAGTCTTCCTCACTTGCAGGGCAAGAACCAGAGGTTGATCCTGATCCTGATCCTGATCTTGACCCAGACCCCGATGGTGACCTTGAAGGTGATCCCCACGGAGAGTCCTATCCGTGTCAGCACTGTGAGCGCCACTTCTCCACCAGACAAGGTCTGGAACGTCACAATCACATTCATGCCATCACCAACCAGCAAACACAACTGTTCAAGTGCCGGTACTGCAGTAAATCATTTGGTTCACAGGTGGGGAGGCGGCGGCACGAGAGGAGGCACGAGAGTGGGCCTAATAAAAAAAGGCCTGGCTCTCTCGCTGGGACTGCCAGTCTACTCAGTCCTGTGGTGCACACGGACGGTTCAAGTCCTGATTGCACCAGCCCAACTAGTAATTATATAGCCATAGGGTCCCAGTTTACAGGAGGACCTCTGCACAACTCTGAGCTTCTGAGAAAGGAGTTGGGGCCTCATGCCGACCGTCCATTTATCTTGGATGAAAATGGGGAGTCTAAAGAACTCCATCCCTGCAAGTACTGTAACAAAGCATTTGGCACACACACCAACATGCGCCGACACCAACGCAGAATACACGAGCGGCACTTGTTACCAAAGGGAGTGCGCAGGAAAGGCATGCTGCTGCAAGAAGCATCGGTGCAGCAACAGCCTGATGAGTCCCCCAGCACCAGCCCTCCGCCCGTCTACGTGCCCAGTGCGGACACAGAGGATGAGGTAGACAGGGATGATTACGCAGTTGACATATCCAAAAACATCTCTGAGAATTTGAGCTTCTACATTGACGGCAAGATTGTGTCTACCAGTTCAGTGAGCAGCTGTGAGGTGATAGAGGTGGACTCCAGATCTGCAGCTCTGTTCGGGTTGGACACCGTCATCATCAGCCCGAATCAGATCAGTCAGGCACTGAAGGTGGAGGGTAGAAATAGTGCTGCAAAGCAAGTCTCCAGCATTGGCCAGCCAGCGGCAAAAAGAAGAACATCAACACCCCCACTTATTCCCGGCCTTAAAGTGGAGACTGAAACGGCATCTTTCACAGCCTCTTCATCGTCTTCATCATCCTCTACATCTTCCTCATCGAACTTGTTAGTGGGTGGACTGTTTCAACAAGCTGCAGATTCATCCGGATTTCAACGAGAGAAAACTGTTTATCTCTCACCGAAGCTCAAACAGCTCCTTCAGACGCAAGACATTCAGAAATCAACCATCGCCCTGATAACAGAAAGCCAAAGACTGGCTTCCCCGCTGTCAGTCACATCGCTGCCGGGGGCTTCAGGCAGGTTTAAAAGAAGAACAGCCTCTCCCCCCTCATCTCCACAGCTTAGTCCTGCATGTAAAACAGAGACCTGTAAAGCCGAGGTGGCGAGCTCGTACACCCTTAAGGTGCCAAAGCTGGAAAGCCACAGCGCGTCATCTCCTGGGAGCTTACTGGACAAGGAAGATGGAGACAGCCTTCCTGGAAATAATATGCAGGGCCAAACTTCTTCAAGTAGCGGTGGGAACTCCTGTAATCAGCAGCCCTTGGATCTGTCGAACTCAGTCAGTAGGAGGAGTGACAGCTTGAACAAGGTGCTTGGGGATTCGGCACTTGACTTAAGCTTGCATCGGAAGAGCGGTGTCGAGACTCCTGAATTAAAAGGAAGTCCAGCACCACAGCCACTGATAAAAAAGAGAAAACCTAACACCAGCATGCTTGAAAAGGTGCTGATGAATGAGTATGTAGGTCTACCTTTGCCAGGAGACGAGAGCCCATTAGCGAACGTAAGTTGTTTTCATTCTCGGTCTCCGAATGTTTCATCAGAATCTGCCCACCCCTCTCCGCCCTCTTTGACCCCTGTCACCATGAACCCATCTTCCCCCGGTACCTCCAGTGTGACATCCCCAACACCGCCTCCCCCTGTACTACCTACCATACCCTCTCCGCTGAATATGCCTAGCTCTCCTCTCTCTCAGCCTTCAGACCCCACTGCACTGAGACCTCTTCCTGTCCTCTCGCCAAAAATGTCCCCGAGATCAGTTGAACGCAAGTCCCTGTCAGAGTCGGAGGAGATTTTGTCAGCGGAAGAAAACAAAGACGAGGAAGAAAACCATATCCCTGAGCCACTGGACTCCCCGAAGACTCCACTTAATGATCCCCTTAATTTTTCAGTGAAATCAAGCTCTCCTAAGCCAGCATCAGTAGATCTGCCCACTACAGAAGATGTTTCACTGACTACAACTGGCAGTCTGCTAAATGGCAAAATGAACCAAAACCTTGATTCAGTAACAGAGAAATCTCTTGCTGCTCTCTCTTCCCAGCCAGAATCCTCACCTTCCTCATCATCTCCTCCTCCTGCATCACATTCACCCCAATCACTGATTTCACAATCCCTCCCACAGATTAAGATAAAAGAAGAGCCTCTGCACTGCGTAGATGAGCTGTCAGTCATGAGTCATGCACCTCTGGATGGTGATGAGTCTTCACCTCATCTTGCTGCTCCTGATAAACCGTCTGATAAAACATCTGAGGCGGAGGATATTGACTCATCGTACAGCAAGACTTTTGTGTGTAATGTCTGCGAGAAGCCATTTAACTCCATCAAAGAGCTCAGTGGACACATCACAGAGCATGCTGTGGATTGGCCCTTCAAGTGTGAATTTTGTGTGCAGCTGTTCGGTGACGCCCCAGCCCTTCTCGCTCACAGAACAACACTACATGGAGTGGGCAGGATCTTTGTGTGCTCTGTTTGTTCCAAGGAGTTCGCGTTTCTCTGTAACCTCCAGCAGCACCAAAAGGATCTTCACCCGAACGAGACATGTTCACATAACACCGTAGAGAGCGGCAAGCTTAGGCCGCAAAACTACACAGATCCATCCAGAGCCAAAGAGGAGAGCAGTCCCTCGTCACCAGCACCAGAGACGACTGATGAAGCTGCTCCACACAGTGACTCTGATTTAACAAAAGAAGAGCCCGATGTTAATGGTAATGATGCAGAGGACAAGGCAGAAGATCCCAATGAGGAGCTGTACACTACAATTAAGATCATGGCCTCAGAAGGAGCAAAGCCAAAAGGCCCAGATGTCCGCCTTGGCATTAATCAACACTACCCTAGTTATAAACCACCCCCTTTTCCTTATCATAGCCGTTCCCATGCTGGCTCTGTGGCCTCAGCTACTAACTTCACCACCCACAACATACCACAAACTTTCAGCACTGCCATACGCTGCACCAAGTGTGGCAACAGCTTTGACAACATGCCCGAACTGCACCAGCACATTTTGGCTTGTGCCAATGCTAGTGATAAGAAGCGCTACACTCCCAAGAAAAACCCCATTCCCCTCAAACAAATAGTGAAGAGTCCGAATGGAGTCGTGTCACCCTCAGCAGCCACTGCAGGTCAGAGTGCTTTCCGTAGAATGGGTCAGCCAAAGAGACTTAACTTTAATCAAGATACTGGTAAAACAAAAATGAGCGCCCTCAGTAAGAAGAAAAACCAGCTGGTCCAGAAGGCAATTTCACAGAGAAATAAAGCTGCCACTTTTGCGAAGAAGGCGATTGTTAAAGTTGAAGAAGAACAGGCCTCTAACGTCTGCCCCCACTGCAGTCGGGCGTTTACTTATCCTGCAAGTCTCAGTAAACATATGGCGGTCAGCTGTCCCATGAAGCCGGTCGTTAAAAAGGGCAAAAAAGGTCTTGCAGAGGTGAAAAAAGAGGCAGTGTCGGTGGTAGATAGACACAAGAATCTTAGGAAGAAAGCTTCATACTATGAAATACCGCAGACGGGGCCCGAGCCTAAACCCCTGGGAAAGACCAGAGCTCGTAGCTCTAGTGCAGCAGACCCTGAACCTTCCCAGCCAGGCAAAGGAAAAGCAGCGCTGGGCCGACTAAAGAGGCCTGCCTCATTCCCAGCACCAGTTTCTGTTCGCAAAAAAACTAAGAAGGGCCATGTTCAGTCTCTACCTCCCACCCCATCAGCCCCGGACACTCCCAGTGACACTGCACAGCCGCGGCCAGCCATGAGAATGCAGCGTATGGGCAAAGAGGCAGCACCCAAGAGATTAGCAGACGCCAAATCACCTCCACCCCAACAGCTGAAGAAGGAGGAGCGGTTCTCCCTTCGAGCAAGGGACAGAGTAGGTGGTCCAGTCACCAGGAGCTTACAAATGGCCAACACAGCTCCTTCTGCTGAGGTGAAAGCTGAGGAACCACCAACTCAAGAGCCAAAAGAGACTCAGGTGAGCCACTACTGTGTGTGTGTGTGTGTGTGTGTGTGTGTTGTGTGTGTGTGTTGTGTGTTGTGTTGTGTTTTGTCTAATAGTGCTTTGACAGACAAGTTAGCCAGGCCAATATTGGCATATTGCAGATATATTGGGTGTCACTGTATATGGCAGCTGATAGGTGACAAGTATTTGCACTACAGAATATGAATACTAAAGATATGTTCAGTTTAGTAAGTGCCTCCATTATTGTCTGTCCTCATAAATTTTGCTGACAATTAAATCCTTTAGCTGCAAATTGTCCAGCTCTGTTTCTATCTTTGTCACTATTCTTAAATAGCCGTTGGGGACCTTTTTACGAAAGGGCTGCTGGAGAACTGAGTTTTGAATTTATGAAGAAATTACCGAGGCACAAGTACTCATATATCATGTGTCTGTTTTTTTCTTTCTAACAAGTTCTTTTCATTTTATTGTACATTTTTCTGCCATCTATTTTCTCAGTTAATAGTAAGGTCTATAAAACAAGAAATTACCATCACGATTTCCAAGAGCATTAAAATGTCTTGTTGTCAAACTAACAGCACTTTATGTTGAGATATGAAAAGCACTAAATTCTCACAATTTAGAACCTAGCAGTTTCTTGTCATTCAACTAATTGATTGACTAATGGTTGCAGCTCTGTGTCGCTCACCTTTTTTTTGTTTGTTTTATGTGTTTACAGGAGGTGCTGATGAAGTGAGCCATGTGGACATTTGTTGAGCTCTTCCTGGGAAAGCGGTGCTCACCTCTCAGGCAACGCTCTGGACTAATCAAGGCACTGACAGCACTGAGGTTGACCTTTTTTGCGGTGGGCTTATTCACTCAATACAGTCTGCTTATCTCAACTGCCTTTGTTGGATTTAAGGAGGGAACTCTCTTTTATCTTCCATCTATGTTATGAACTGAACTGAGCCTTGATTTTAGCCAGCCTTGCAAAAAAAAGGAAAAAAAGAAACCGTAAATGACAATGAGTTAATATATACAAAATGAGTCATTACTTGACCCAAAACAGTAACATTAGGGCTCCGTTATGTTGGGAAGCTGATATATTGCAAATGGCAATCATGTATCAGTTAGGGTTAGGGAAACTTGTTTATTCTTCCGTTCCGTATTTTCCCTATTTGGTTGTTTAGATTTTTGGATGTTTCCAGAGTCTCTTAATGCATGTGCTGAATAGAGTATAAACTAGATTAAGCCAATTTCCATGTCTCTCCCAACGGGCACCTATTTCAGTTTATACATGATTTGCAAAGTATGTATGTTAGATTTAAATTTCTGTAGTCATTATATTGTAGAATATATCTTATTGGCATATTTTTGTTTGGGAAACAAAAATGAAAATGGCAGTTGTTTACTGCAACAATTGGTCCTCAGGAACACTGTATACGTGTGTGGTAAGTATGTGTATGGTTATGGTTGGATGTGTCGGCCTGATAGCTATTCCTTTGGTCTAAATCTCAAGTATGTCTCATGTTTTTTTTTTTTTTTTTTTTTTTTTTTTTTACTTGCTTTCCAGACTCTTTTCTTTTTCTGAAGTTAGCAGGTAATTCCAGTTGTAAAATGATGGGAATTATGTAGTAGTCTCTTTAAAACAATGTCCGTCTTGAACAGAGTTTTTAATGTCTCTCATTCAGCCCAGTGTTCTCGCAGCACTTTAAAACAAACTGCCAAAATTTTCGAGCTGGATCAGTAAGATTGGCTTAATTAAATGGTGAATAATGGAATGTATTCAGGTCTGTTGCGCTTTGCAGACGCTGGTGAATTTGTGCAAATCATTCATTTACACCCTTTCTGTCAACAATTCTCTAAATTGGTTTTCTCCGTTAAGCAATTTGACGCATTTAAATGACACATGAACCAACTTTTATATGCCAAAATGCATGATAATAAGTCAAATCCTCAAATAAACCGAATGCAGCAGTGTTTTGTATTTTTTTTCTGTCCGTTGTAAGTGGACTTGTGAAAAGTTGTTTCATGTGTCGTTTTTTACCATGCCACAGTGACTTCACTCAAAGGGTTTTTCAAAGTCATCTTTGTTTCTGTGAGTTTATATATTTGGTATATTTGGTATCTGTACCAATGAAAAGCTTCTTATTTTTAGTTTATATCCCCCCACTTTCTCACTCTTGACCTTATCCAGTTGTACCACAGAGATAGCAGGCAGTGCTTAAACGCTTGTAGCATGTTACGGGAAAGTAAATTGAACAATATGATTTGAAGCTAATTTATATTTCCACAAGAAATTTTCATGTTTTTGCCTTTCAGCATCAAGATTATGTATTTAAGGATGAACAAAGACAAAAATCCCGAATGACCTCAAGTAAAACATTGCTGTAATTGACATAATAAAAAAAAGTTTTTCAATTTGTGTAAAGCTTTTATTGTTTCTGCTTATGGGTTTTCCCTCTTACGCCCTGCTCTGCAAGATGTGGATATAAACGGATAGATTGAATGGGTGCAAACAGTCTTCTAACATTGATCCAGACTATTTTCACCAATTAAATTTCTATCTTTAATAGAAAAGGAGTTTTCAAGTTCATGATTTAATGTGCAATGTACTTCTATATTATAGTTTACTGGTTATGTAGACATCAAGAATTACTTTGTGTGTGTAGAGAGTGAACGTGATTAACTGGACTCATAAGTGGGGCTGACTCCTTGCAGGCTGTTTTATTCACTGAGACCTTTTTTCTTTTTTTTTATATAATGGATGTCCCTGCCATTGAGGCTGTAATAAAGTTTTCCACATTACATTTGCTGATTACCTTCTCCACTTACAGTCTGTCAGGGACCTGCTGGATTATGAAAAAGACATTTTAGTTTCCATTTTATTTGAATTTGATAGGAGCTAGTGCTTAACATAAATCAGATTTGAAGTTGCTGCTTTTACTCCGCTGGTCAGTAAGCTGCTACTGTGGGGCCATGGCCATTGTCAGCTTACTAGTTGCTGCGAGATCTGTATCTATTTTGGGAGCAGTGCACTTGTCAGGGAGGTTGATATGTGAGTCATACAGTACCTTAAATTATTACCACCTCCACGTAGCTTTTGTGTAAATCAACATGGAAACAGTAGCCAATTGTGCAAAAGTAGTTTGTTACTCATACATTTTTTGTATATGCTTTATAAGGTTTATACATATAAAGGTTGTTTTTATTGGAGTAATTATCAAATTAATTCTACTTTGAATAACTTTAATCATGTAAAATTTAAAATGTTCTTTAAATGAAGTTATATGAGCCTGGCTATCTACCATCTTTGTATTTATTGGCAAAGCACCATATTGCAGCTAAAGTGTCTTACTGGTTTATCTTTAGTTTCTTATTCGTCACTGTTACCTTTAAGGTCACTCTCATATTACAGTCATAAATCACAGGACTAATATCTCAAAGGGAATGAAAAAACTAAACTTTTCTATATTGTGCACGCAATCAATTATTCCTAATAATTCAGTGCGCTATATTTTTGTGGCAGAATCACATTGAATGTTTTTTCATTAAGAGAAACTAGCGACCTAACCAAAATGTACAGACAACAAACCGCAACATCAAAATCCAACAAAAGCAAAAAAACCGACCTATAAAGTCACATACAGTATCAAAACATATCTCATTTATCACCAGACATCACATAAGTACTGTACATATTTAGAAACATAAAACGTAACAATGTATAATATATAATAAATAATACTAAATCCTCATTCACATGTAAAAAATTATGAAATGCAAAAATGTGTACCTCTGGATAAGTATTTGAGGCAAATGTATTAATAAAGTACACACTTAGCTACAGTAAACTTCTTTAAAGATGTTTTTTGGATAATTTATGTATGAAATAAAGTAATGTGTGAGAAACCTTTTGAATGGATTCCATCGTAGCAGCATCACCCTTAAGTATTACACCTTTTCCATTAGAAAATAATGAGCTAATCTAACCTTCTGGAACATTACCCTCTATAAAAGAGAGAAAAACTGTTTATTACCCTGGACAGAAAAACCAAAGCATCTCAGAGTCACTGCTGGTGCGTTTGTCGTCATGAGTACCTTTTCAAGGTCTCATCTGGCCTGTGTGCATCTGCTGAGATTATTTTTGTCCGGACCCCATCCATCACACTCAATGTACATTAATGAGCTATCGAGCCCACTGGACAGACGGTGTGTGGAAGAAACGTGCCTCCAGCACTGGAAACAAACTCAGAGAACTGGGATCTCTTGTGGCCTGGATCCTCACACAGCACATGGGGGTTATCATGTTGATGGATGGGGTTATGAATTAAACGCAATCTGTATGTTGGATTTGATCCACAGGCCGAATTTTTCTTTATTCAGTGGGATGGGGAGATGTGTTTATTTGCCCCAGTGCCATGACGATATAGTTTATGGCTGGATGTAGTTTATGGGTGTTCAGCTGTGTGTGTGTGTGTGTGTAGGGATGGGCTCTTGGAAGTGTGCTGCACCATACTCATGCTGTCATGGTGAAATATCACTGCACTCTCTCTTGATTGCTGTGTACGGTGCTTCAGCCCTATTCATAAAAATGCAATTCCATGCAGCTCTGTGCCTGGCTTGACGAAATAAACTACGATACACCAGAGAGGCAGATTTAAGACGTAGAAGAGTGCAGAGGCTGCTTCAGGGGATTGGCACTCAATTACCACACGCAGAAGGTTCAAGACAAGCATGTTTTTGTGAAAAGAGACTCAACTTAGGGCTGCTACGCGCTAACAAAATCAAATGTACAAAGTATTTAACTATATAACTTGATATCAGTAACCTAACTGTATTTTGGGGATTAGTTTAACAAGATATCAGTGAAAACCAACTCCAAATTTGTTGATTGCCAATTTTCAGATCAACTGGATTTTGTAACTGGAAACTACAAGTTGTATTTCTAAAGCAGTAACCTAAAAGCAGTGTTTTTTTCTGCACTCTCAGATTGGAAGTTTAGAGCCTGTGTTACTTCTGACCTGATAGGTGTGGTCATCCAACAGTATAAAGCATAAATACAAACAAATTAAGCATTTTAAACCCCATTGAATTGCCTAAACAGGACCGTCTATGGTCATGCTAGCTGCTCTGTGAAGCTGTAGGTGCAGCTGTGATTTGAGCTAAACGCTAACATTAGTTTATATTATATTATATTATATTATATTATATTGAGGTTATTATCCCACAGGATATTTAACCTTAGAACAACACTGATATTCTCCAAGTAACAATTATTTTCTTTATCAGTTAATCTGCTGTTGTTTTTTCCTAGACTAGTAATTATGTTTAGGAAATGATGAAATATACCCATCACAGATTCCTGATGTCTTCAATTTTCTTGTTTTGTCTGACCAATAGTCCAAAACTCAAAGATACAATAATATAAAATAAAGTGAGGCCTCCCATTAGAGAAGCTGGATCCAGCATTTTTCCTAACAAATGATTTGAATGATTAACTGGTAAAAAAATTATAAATTTTCTGTCTCTCAACTAATTGATTAATCGACTTATAATATCAGCTCTAGTGTCCAGTTTTAAAACAAAAGCTAGTCTTTTTATTGCTAACAAAAGATCTGGTTGAATATAAGGAATCTGGATCAGACTGAATTGTTTCTCTTAAACAACATGGTTATTTGTCTCCTGGAGAAAGACAGCCACCACTGATGGGAGACGCAGTGGGAAGGAATGACAGCTGCTCATACATGACAATATACAGCTTCTGAAAAAAGAAAAAAAAACTCACTCTGCCTCTACTTCTTTTTCAAAGAGAATATCATTAAAGCTGATGAAGATGGAGCAGAGATGTATTCTGCAGGGCATTACGTCTCTCAGGCTTGAAAGTGAAGACGTGTCTCGAGTCTTCTCATTGTTTGTGAAATGCCAGCATTCAGTTTGACCTTAGCATTTTGCTGATTTTTGTTGTGTTTGTTTGCAACCACGTGCTGTTTGATGCTGATTCTGACTTTGTGATTTTCGATTGAATAGCTACTTAACCTTCTCTTAAACAAACTGGGCATGGTTTTTCATGTCTTGCCATTATCTTTTCACCTGCGGACCACCTGCCTTAAATCAGCCCTCTAGCCGAGCCTTCCTCCCGGCTCCCACTGTGGCCTATTGAGCGTCCTGCTATTTCCTTTCAAAACAGGAGGATGTGATGTGAGGATGTGAGGGCTGCGGTCAGGTCCCCGGTGTGCTCGCCTTGCAGAGCAGTGGTGTGAAAGATGGCTCCATGACAATGGGCTTCCTGGCAAACTTTTTTTTTTTCCTCGGGAGGAAATCAGTTGTTCAACGCTGCAGAGAGGTTAAACAGTGCAAAGATGGCCCGGGTGTGATTACGTGTTGGAATAACTGTCTTGTCTGTGTTGGAGGTCTCCATGCCAACAGCTGCACAATGGGTACAATAACTGTGCCTCCAAGGCATGATGAGAGGGTATTTTAAGATCTTATAACGTGTGCTCATTTGATCTAATGGCAGTGTTAATTTTTTATCATAACACCTTCATGCCCCTCACGCTGCGGTGTGTGGAGGGAGCTTTCACACATTCCAGTTCATCTCATTTTTCACTGTGCACGGTTTCACCAGAGCTGTTGCACCACATAGTTTATAGGAGTTATATTTTCAGTTGAGTATGAGCTAATTTTTATTTTATACTCAGCAGTTTTATACAATTCCTTTTCAAGATGAAGCCTCTGGACACCACTAGCTGCACCAGCCCTACTTTTCACTTTTTATACAACCCTTCTTCCACTTTCTCATCGTCCTTTTTTCCCCTCAGCACTGGGGGAAGATGAAGCACTTGAGTTTGCTAGAATCTGTTTCCCAGCAGCGGCCCGAGCTTTAAGATGGATCGAGGGGATTTGCATGGGGTGGGGGTGGAGAGAGTAAGAGATGTGAGGGAGAACAGGAGAGCGGGAGAGAGAGATGTTTCTGCTGCTACAGCAAATGAGGGCTGTAGAGAGGGGGAGGAGGGAGAGGGAGGAGAGAAAAGGGGGCATAGTCGCACAGATCAGAAAACAACAGTCCTGTCCTGCGCCCAGAGGACAGACGCTGCTGTCTACTCGCATTGAGAGTGAGGGGAGGGGGGGGAGGAGGCAGGGTTGACTTTTACCTGCCAAAGAAGCCGCAACTCACTCCTTGCTTCCCGTCTTCTTTGCTCTTCCCTTCAACCCAGCCTGTCTGGAGCCGCAGAGGACTGTCAGCCTGTACAGACGAAGCACAAGATCAGAGTGCTGGCAGGGAAACTGTGCCTACAGCTCTGCTACCTGCTCTACCACCCTGTATTACTCTCCCTCACACATGCACACCAAAATGCTCTCACAGGCACACGTTCAGAGAACTTTCCCTCGCGCGCGCACACTCTCATGCTGACAAGCAG